GAGAGTGCCAGAAATCGCTTGAGGGCAAGTAGGACCATAGGAAGTTGCGATTACCGTCGTGTTGGACTTTGGCACATCTTGCGGCGTCCTCCATCGGTTTTCGCCAGCTGTTGTGGCAGCAAAGGGGATGCCTAGGAATACCGAGTTGCAACTTGCGTCATGGTACCCCTTGACCAGACCTTGGGATGTGCGGGCGTGAGGCGCAGATTGAGTTGCGTTGCTGCAAGTGCTTGCCAGGACCGAGGTTAACAAGCTAGAGAACAACATGGTAAGGGCCGTAACTGATGGCGACATGTCGTTGAAGTGCATATTGTGTCAATCGGCCAATACCTTCAAGATGTAGAGAACGTGAAATGCATATTGACACGATGGGATTCCCGGAAGAAAAGGAGATGGCTATCCAGCACCGTTTTCTTCAAGGTGGATATTAATTACAAAATACGACCTCGAGGCCTTGTCAACCCCACTGAAGACCGTTCTGGATTAGCCCATTACAACGAATTTTCGGTGATGTTGCAGCGATCTCCTATGGAGTTCAGCCCCAGGCACATTTATGCTTCTTTTCAAAGTTTGGATGAAATTCTCTTCCCCAGATTCTGATTTTTCCTCGTCCTAGAATGATATTTCCCAATAGGGCTGATGGTAATGAATTGCAGACTTCCAAGCATCCTCACATTCAACTGAGTTGAGGGAGCAGGGGGAGGACGAGGTTACGTAAATCGCCATAAGCACCGTCAGCAAACCCCCTGGCATTACGGATAACTTGCCAAAACGGGGAGAGGTGAGCGAGCAAAAATATGACTGGCTTTTCAAAAATATTATCAGCTCATGGCCTCAATAGTCCGGTTCTTCTCGTCTTTCTCAAGCAGCCAAGTTTCTCTGCTTTGTCGCAATGATTTTGCGGCGAGTAACTGGCGTTTCTCTCCTTGTTGACAGGCAGTGACTACAACTCGTCTTTCTCGTCCCTGGGCAGATCAAAAATCTTCTTCTTCGTCATGCCAGCCAGGATGTCGACAATCAAGTCAGCGGCAGCGACGGAAGTTGTCTCGGCCACCGAGTCATAAGGCGGGCTGACTTCGACGACATCAGCACCAACCAGGTTGAGTCCTTCAAGACCCTTGAGGAATCGCTTCAACTCTCTCGTTGTCCAGCCGCCTGACTCTGGCGTTCCAGTAGCTGGAGCAATGCTCGGATCGAGGACTGTAGCGTTGTTAGTTAAACATTCGTCATGATGGGGCGGTCCCAACTTGCCATCAATGTCGATGGAAAGATACACTGGCGTATTGCCAACTGCGTCTCTGACTTTCTTGACGATGCCACTCATGCCAATATCGTCAATCTCATGAGCTTCAATTATGGTGAATCCGACAACATCCCTGTCGATTTCATAGTCTTTCGGGCTCTGCATTATGTCAGATAAGTTGATCACTGTAAAACTAATATGAGTCGCTACTCACGAAGAGCTTGGTCCTCAGACCGCCATGAACGCTGGTGCCCTTGCTGATGCACCCTTCTCGGCTCGCATGCCAGAAGAAGGTTCCATGGGTGATGGCAGACTGGTTCGAAACGATTCCCGTATAGCCTTCATAAGGATCCCATCTGCGCATGAGTGTTGTTAGTGGCTGATGCCTTAAGCCAGTAGCGCTGAATGTGAGGAGTCTTACGTGTCAAGGTGCGAATCGAGATGAATGACGGAGATGGGACCATAAACTGTCTTCAGACTGCGAAGAATTGGCAAGACTATAGAGTGATCTCCTCCAAGGCTGATGATGCGGGGATGTTCCCATTCATCTAGAATGTAGGTTAGCGGTTGTGACTACTTTGCATGTCTGTTGTTGCCAACATCAGTGGATTTACTCTGATCGGTGGTCGGATGATAGAGAATCTGTCGATACGCCTGTTCCATCTGCTTAAACGCATGGCTGGCATCAAATGGCGTGATGGGCACGTCTCCACAGTCGATCTTTCACCGCGGCATTGCGTTAGTGCTACGTGATCCATAAAGATGTTCAGTCAGATAAGCCCTCACAATCTCTAGCCCCTGTTCGTAGGGGTCAACCTCCCACACGGTGTTATAACTACGCCCTTTCTTCTCCCTGGACGATCCAGCCCGAATACCTCTCGGGCCGAAGCGAGCGCCTGGACGGTAGGAAGTAGAGGTGTCATAAGGAAAGCCCAGAACGGCAATGTCTAGAGGCTGGACTCGGGGTCAGATGAAACCTCACATGGCATTTGAGCTGCACGTAATATACCTTATTATGCGACTCCGCTAAACAACGTTGCCATTCCAAGTGCGCAAATGTCACAGGCTGGGAAAAGGGCAGATCTTTGTCCAGATCTGGGGAGAAGGTTAGCTGAGAACCTTGCAAACAGCCGCCGAGACAGCTGAACATACCTTCAAGGGGATATTGATAGTTCGGGCCAACATTTAGGGCAGCTGCAAGGTCAGCACCCGCGCAGAGTAGGATTGCATCTGCAAGACGCATAGTGAACGTGAGTATTGGTTTTCTTGGCTTGAATGTTTCGCAATAGATCTGGCTTTGGTAGGTGACATTTTTGTATGATGCTCATCGTATGATTTGCTTAAATAATATCCGACAAGGCGCGCATGTTCAGATGACGACTGGAGTGAGGAGAACCAACGCCGATTCGAGGCCGATAGGTTGAAGCCTTGATGCACCTATCAGACGATTAGAGTTAATCAAAGGCAAGAGACTCCGACAGCACCAACGGCCGGGAATAGGGCCCCCACATCGGTCAAGCCGACTCCTGGAAGTCGACTCCGATATCTTTGGGGATGTTTCACGCGCTATCATGGGCTAAGGCGCGCCTTTAGATAAGAGGTTGGCTTATCTCTTTGAGCTAGACGAATGAGTCGCGAATATCTTCAAAGTATGGTGAATTCAATATCTACAAGGTTCTTTAAGTATAAATATAAATGCAGCTGGGAGGTAATATGTCAAGTCGTTTGATGGTAGTCAGAGACTCCAGGTAAAGCTTTTCGGGAAAGCTTGTTCAATGAACCCTATCGACATCCCTGTCTCCAAACTTCTGCATCATTAACTCTCGAGCCGTCGCACTCTCCTTGATACGAACATCTGCAAGTAAATATGATGGAAACAAAGACAGAAGGCGACAGCGACAACAAGGTCGGAGGCCATGTTGCAGCATCATCTCATCCGGAATCCATCGAAGCTACGGAAACTGCGGAACTCTCGACCAAGCGCGGCCTCTCTGCCCGACATGCACAATTCATCGCTCTTGGTGGAACCATCGGCACCGGCCTCTTCGTCGGTTCCGGCAGCACCCTCGCCCGTGGCGGACCGGCCTTTCTCGTTGGCAGTTATGTCGTTATGTCAGCCCTGATTTACATGGTCTTGACTGCAGTCATTGAGATCTCGACGTACCTTCCGCTGCCAGGCGGCACCATGAACTACTACGGCAGCCGATATGTCTCGCGAAGTCTCGGTTTCATGATGGGATGGCTCTACTTCTACTCTTTTGCAATCTTCGTCCCCTTCGAGCTTACGGCATCAGCCTTGGTCATTGAGTACTGGAATCCGAATGTCAACAACGCCGTTTGGATCACGATCATGTTGGTAATGGTTGTCGGCCTCAACCTTCTACCTGTGAAGTTCTACGGCGAAACGGAGTTTTGGTTCGCTGGACTGAAAGTTCTGACCATTGTTGGTCTGCTGATCCTTTCGGTCGTTCTGTTCTTCGGCGGCGGTCCATCCCACGAGCGACTTTATTTCCGGTACTGGAAGGACCCCGGCGCTACCAAGGAGCTGATCGTTCAAGGAGACGCCGGCAGATTCGTGGCCGCCCTGTCAACTCTCCTTAGCAGCGTGCTTCCATTCACGTTTTCACCCGAAATGGTTGTGGTCACTGCCGGAGAAGTTCAGTCTCCTCGCAGAAACCTGCCGAAAATCGCCCGCAACTTCTTCTGGCGATTGATTGTCTTTTACATTGGCGGTACCATTGCCATCTCGGTCATCTGCCCGTCCAACGCACCGGCACTCACTAGCGGAAGCTCTGGAGCCGCGGCTTCTCCCTGGGTTGTGGGAATCAAGAACGCGGGAATCAAGGGACTCGATAGCGTAATCAACGCTGTCGTGGTTACGGCCGCCTGGTCCGCCGGCAACTCGTTCCTCTATCTGGCAAGCCGATCTCTGTACTCAATGGCCTGTGAAGGCAGCGCCCCGCGGATCTTCAAGCGGTGCACCAAGCAAGGAGTTCCCATCTACGCCGTCATAGCCAGCTCGTTATTCTCGCTTCTGGCTTACATGAACGTCAACTCCAACGCAGCAGACGTTTTCAACTGGCTACTGAATCTCGTCAACACTGGAGGCTTCATCTCCTGGGTCTGCTGCGGAATCATCTACATCCGCTTCCGAAAGGCCTGCGACGTTCAGAATTTGCCGAAATCAGCTCTTGTCGCACGATCCTTTTTGCAGCCTGTTGGGTCATACATCTCGCTAATCATGTTCGGACTTCTGTGTCTTCTTAACGGTTTCACTGTCTTCTTCCCATCTCGCTGGTCCGTGGCAGACTTTCTCTCTGCGTACATCGGACTGCCTTTGTTTATCGTTATCTACTTTGTCCATCGATTTCTACACCGCGCTGATTCCTGGGCCATCTCCTCTCATGAGGTGGACCTCAAGACTGGACTCGCAGAGTTGGAGGCAGAAGAGTCATTGGACGAGCCCAAGGAAGGGTTGCGAGCGCGGTTCAAGCGCCACGTAGGTCGATCTTAGGATGATGACAGATGTATAAGTGATAGGGCGTCGCAGTCTCCTGCCCGACTCCAATAGGCGGCTGAGGCTGAGAGGCTTGACAGCGATAATGATTTAGATACTTGATAAGACACTGTGTAATTTGAGATAGAGAATGAACAATATTAGACAAGTTTCTCGGCTTCAGTGCATCGAATAGCCAACATCTTCCCATTCCAGTCCCTTTGACCTACCTTAGCCTTGCTACTCGACTGAACTGCCATGATGCAACACGCCAAAGTCCTCATAGTGGGCTGCGGTTCTGTAGGAACCATGTGTGCGTTTGCTCTTCAGAAGTCCGGAAACGCCGAGGTCACTGCTATTCTCCGGTCCAATTATGATCTAGTCCAGACCCAAGGCTATCACATCCAGAGCATTGACCACGGGGAAATTGCTGGCTGGAAACCCCATCACAGTGAGTCGCTTATCAGTTCGATTCCGTCCTAGACGTAATGATACTGATGCGCCATAGTGGAAAGATATCTAGAAGACGCACTACAGCATGGCCCTTTCGACTTTGTCTTGGTGGCTATGAAAAACTTGCCTGATGTGTACACAATCCCAGATATTATTGGTCCCGCGATTGCACCCCAAACATCAATCGTGCTCGTTCAGAACGGCATTGATATTGAGCCACCATTACTCGAAGCCTTTCCGAACAACATTTTACTCTCAGGCGTCCCACTGATAGGGTGCGAACTCAACGGACGCGAGATGTTGCATAATGACCCAGATATCCTTCAGCTTGCGTACTGGCCAAATCCAAAGTTTACACCTGAGAACCAGAGCACCGCGTGCGCCGCTTTTGCTCGGATTTACAACAATGGTGGTGCCAAATGCAACATCCAGACGGATATCTCTTGGTTCCGATGGCGAAAGCTCATATGGAACGCTTCTTTTAACACCGTCTGTGCCATAACGAATTTGGACTCGGGCGCCATTCAGGATGCTGGTGGTCTGGACACCCTGATCCGCCCAGCCATGAGAGATGTTGTGGCAGTTGCCCGAGCAGCGGGGCATATCTTCTCCGATGAGATCTTGGATGACATGGTTGCATTCACGCCCAAAGAAGCCCGTCTGAAGCCGAGTATGCAGGTTGACGCGGTGAGGCAGAAGCCAATGGAGATCGAGGTGATCTTAGGAAATCCTATCAAAACCGCGAAGAAACCTGGCGTGCTGGTTCCAACTTTGGAATTTCTCTACAGCCTTTTGCAAACCAAGCAGTGGAGTTTCTTGAATTTGGAGGAGTGAATCTTGTTTCCCATATTTCTTATGTGCTTATCGCAACCTATGTACAAGAAAAATATGATTTTTCCATTCTTCGTTCCCTGTGTCGTTAAGAAGTACATGTAAGCCTCCTAGCGACGGATGTGCACTCTCATGTTCCCGTTACCCCAAGCGTTGTTCTGACCGAAAACGAGACTGCCACGGGTGCAAGCGTCCATGATCTGGCCTGCCGACCGGGCAACATTGCCGCAGGGACTGGATGTGTCCCTGGGAGGGTTGCCACCGGTAGCAACACCGGCGATCTGAGCCTGGCCACGGTGGCAGAAGACAGTGGCGCTGACGACGGCCTTGCACTCCACATTGGCGCGGGCAGCGATGAAGTCGATACACCAGACGGCATCAGCAACCTATCATAGGCAATTAATGTCAGTGAATGCCTTTCATGAAAATACCATGATTCATCGTCGTGTGGTGGTTACAAGACCCTTTCGTGGTAGGCTGGCGAAGGGATAGCTCAGAGTGACTTACAGAGGCAGCGTTATCGTTGTCGTTGAATGTGCAGCTGACATCCTGCTGGCGCTTCTCAAGACCATCTAGACAGTGACAAGTCAGCCATTGGTGGTTCTAGTTGCAAGGCAACATTAAGACAACAATGTATCACGAACCGCTTGAAGTCTGGTTGAATGCGAGAGCCATGGCCTCCTCGGGCGAAGGATGTTGCCCGTTGGGGCTGGCAATGATATCCTCAGCCCACTTCTCAAAAGAGAAGGGAACGTTCTGCTCGGTGGCCTCGGCAGCAGTAGGGGCGGCGGCAATGAGAGGGATAAGGGCCAGAAGGCCGGCGGCGCGGGTGAAGTTGACCATTTTGTCAGTGAAGAGATATTATGTTAGGTTGTTTGAAGAATGATGAGTTGTGGCAATGATCTGAAGAGAAAGGACGCAGCTAGGTGTCCGCGATGGAGCTACTTATACCCACCGAGATAAAATTCTCGAGGTGCCTTGAGAACTCACTGAGGAGGGCGTTAGACGAGAGAATGTCACGCTTGCCACTTCTGGAAGTTTTCTGGACATCTAGACTTGCACCGCTGTCGAAGGAAGGATCTAAAGTTTCCGAGGAAGGCTGGCTCAGCTGCAAGGAGTTGGATCCTCACGATGGGGCTGATATTGCCGCAAATCGTTAACTGGGAATCCAATTTAATACATGCACGGCTCAGTCTCTTGACCGGACAACTTCAATACAACGTCACCCTCACCATCAATGAGTCCGTGTTAGCACGTTGGGGAGCTCATATCTAAACCACAGAACCCGGTAAAGTCTTGGACGTGGATATTGGCAATCTCTTACTTCTGCCCAATACTCAAGTGGTTACGTGGCATTTCTTTCGTTCCCCGATATCTGCTAAAGCTTGATTTATCGCAATTAATTCTCTGCCTGACATGGAGTCTTCGTTTCCAGCGAAAATAAAACTTGATGTCTGGTCGCCAAGCCTCGGCTCCTACCTGTGACCTGGTAGCCCTAGTCTCACAGTAAGATCAACAACCCATCGGCAGCAACGGGTCGGAGTGGCTACCCTTGGCAACTTGCCATTGTCTTGAGCTTAGGGCTAGACTATAAGCAATACGAGGAACACACTCATGGTTACCAGAGCCGGAAAGAGCCCAATTGGACATCTCGCAATTGAACGCGAGGATCTTACTTATGCACCCGCAATCCGAGATCTCGGCAGGTTTCCCATAGGCTCGCTCGGGTGGCATAGATTAAGTTGAATGGGTCTCGGCACGACCCAGTGGCGGTGTATCAGCACTTGTTGGAATAAGCAGGTCCAAGGCGGGGAATTGGCTTTTAAAGGCATAGGGCGAAAGGACCCGCTGAAACGGTCCGAAGCGTGATACTTTTCAACTTGTTCCCCTGAGTTCTGACTGCGAGGAACCCTCTCAAGGACCTTCCAGTGCTCAATTTCACATCGTCGCGGGAACAGTGATTTATGACCATCAAGTCATGGGTCCGCAATTTTACCCTAGTATCGTTTGCTACCGTTCTTGAAAGAAAAGAAATTGTGTAGATTTATCAACCCCAAGAACAATATATCGGAGACAACCACCCAGCATAATCGGGGCCAGGTAAGCTCTTCACAGAGTCCAAAAGAACATGAAACAAGCGAACTATACTTCCTATGTTATTTTTTCCCCAGAAGAACGTAAGAGTTGGATAGAAGTGATTTGATGCTGAACTTTAAGAGATAACCGGTAACAATCCAAAACCCTGGTACACTTCAACATTTTCTACTCTAGAAGGCCACCCAACAGCCCAACAGCGTTTTCGCGGGTCTTCAAGGATTTCTTAAGCCAGCAATTCCCATTATACCCCCCTGTGGTGTCCAGATTTCGATTAAAAACTGCTGCAAGGCACACTCTGGATCCCCTATATCGATTGTATGACGCACAAGCCCTCAAACAATCCAAATACGAGTGGGCCACAATGGCTACTATGTCGTTCGTTTCCCCTGGTCCGTAATTCGTCCCGCAATGAACCGTAAACTTTGCCTCTTCGTCGCATAGTTTTATTGTTTCTGATCTGCCGTCTATGTTGGAGCAGTGAGGGTCGAGTATCTCTATGTGTTGTGTTGGCACCTCTGATGAGTTTCCGGTGGTTGAGGACAAGACAGACCTGGTCGTTGGTCATTAGTCTATTGGACGTCCCATCACTTGTCAACTTTATCAAAAGGAAGTCATACTCACTCGCTTTTTTAACAGCCAACGTGCCACCCACACCACCGCCTATAGCTGCTGTCACCAAAACCACGACCAGCAAAACACCAAGAACGAATGTCGCTGGCCTCAATCCGAGGATTGCACGCTTTTTTGTCGAAGAGTCTGGGATTTTCGATTCCAGAACATGCTGAGTCGGATGATCACATGCAAGAGCCACTTGCTTATGGGTTTTGTCAGGAGAACAGGCCTCGGGGTCATCCGGAATGTAAGCCTCAGGGCCGGTAGAGTCCATCGTGTGCTCTTGTACCCCCACATGAAGCAGCGCATGAAGTCTCAGACTCTCAGTCATAAAAGAAGATAGGAGCAGACACCAGTGTCAATGGAAAGTGAACCGATAGAAGAAATAGGAGGGATGGAAAAGAGGGAACCAACGACCAAGCATTGAGCTAATAATGAACTTAATGGTGTCAATATCGGCTGGTTATTCACAGAGTACTGAGTAGTCTTTGTGTCCTGGAAAGTCAAGAGCTAGCAATTTCTCGACTAATTCGTGGGGTTTGAAACATTGCTGACCTTCGGAGAGGTCTGATCATCGCTCATACAACCTGGACTGCCCTTATGTGTAACTAAGTGTACGTCATACCATCAAAGAGACTGAAGTCTAACACACTTACTGTAGCACATTGCTTACTTGGGGAAGTACAAGCACCTGAAGCTCGGAGAGAGTCTTGTACATGTCTGACTGTGCTAAGAGAATCAGGCCGGCTTGGCTTGAACGCTAGGGCTGTACTACACAGTGTATCGTTCTTTGTACGCATTGGCCGTCAATCAGTTGGACAGCGTGTCAGGCCATTTTGCGTCAAAATCGTTTATCAAATCAAACAAAACTGAGCATTTGAATTACAATGTGCGATTTCTAGCAAACCAACGATCTCGCATAACTTTCAGAGTCAAGGTTTCAACGTGAAAGCGGAGACAAGAGAAATGCCGGATGTGATGCACAACGATACTTTATACCTCAAACATATGTTGAATATAGAGAAGTGAACACCACCCGCTAGACATAGAACATTCAGTAGTCGGATGTGGTGCGACAAACCTCAGTGACAGATGTACTCAATCCTGGAACATTAAGTTAAACGATACGTTTGTGTTGGTTCGCGTCAGCTGTTGTCGACATCAAACTATCAATCATGTAGCAATGGGATGTGAACCTATGTGCGTGTCTTGAACCCACAAGGGAAAGTCAATGATAATTCGGGGGCATACCTTACCTTAGTTAACAACATAGAAATCTCCTAGATGGGTAATAAAGCCAGTTCATACCCATAGTCCGGCAAAAACATCATCCACATGAATTCCGGTGTAGTTGAGCGAGAGTTACGCTCACCTCTCAAGATGGCCGCTGAGCGTGTGTCCAGACGAGTCGCTTGCTGGCGGCTGGTACATCATACCTATAGGGATGTTTGATTGGTGGTCCCCATGATTCCTTTCACGCTTCTAGAGACGAAGGAGGCCGAGTAAGTCCATGGTTTGTTTGTAGTCGGAAGTGCGTTGGCCTGCACGACTTGGTGAGGTGGACTGGAAGGGGCCGAGGTCCGCACGCTATGTCAGAGAAAACTGCATCGGCAGATTCATACCTTATACCAAGGCAGCGACCATCGCAAGGCACGTCAAAACCTCAAAGTCCGGGTGACTCCATTGCACTCTCTTTTGCGCTACACAGCAGGACAAACCTTCATTTCTACGAGCGACAAGGAGGATCAGAACTGTTTGTAGGTAAAGGCTATCGACTATGTTGTATTAAGGTCAACAGATGCCTGTTGCTTGTAAACTGTAGAAGTCCTTGGTCCTATCTGAGTAAGGACTAATGGTCTACTCAGGTGTAGCGATCATAACATTTACAAGAGGAGGGGACTAAATGCTCAATCCAGGATGCCACCCACAGCAGAATTATCAGATATCGACCGGGGACTAGTCGCATTCTTGAGCCAACAATTCCCATTGTTTGGGCCAACATTACCCAGATTCGCGTTGAAGGTCGCCGCGACGCATGTTCTCGACCCTGAGTTGCGATTGTATGATGCACAAGCCCTGAGGCAGTCCAAGTACGAATAGACTACAACGGCAACAATGTCTAGAGCTCCTTTTGCTCCAAAACTCATGCCACAATGCATAACGAATTTGGCATCAACATCAGAGAGTGCAATTGTTCTCGTTTCGCCCTCCATGGCGGGACAGGGGAGCTGGATTTTCCCTTGTGTTGGAACTACTATCGGGCTATCGCTGTCCGTCGATGCAGGGACCAGCGCGGTGACTGTGGTCGTGACAACTGTAGTTGGCGATGCTACGGACGACATTGCATCGCTGAGAACCAATCATCAGAAATTTGTGGCGGAAGGGAATTGACATTGGATCATACTCTCTCGCTTTTTGGACCGCCAGTGAACCCCCAACGCCACCACCAACAGCGGCTATCACTATTACTGTAGCCAATAAAACACTAAGAACAAATGTCGCTGGCCTCAGTCCGCAAATATTACGTTCTTTCTTGACGGGAATCGATGAATAAGTTTCAGGCGTGGTCGGCGCATAGTACGATGATTCATGTTGCCGCGGTTGTTCGGGAACTACTTGTTTGTGGGAAATATGAGGAACGTACGTCTCGGGGCCGGAAGAGTCCATCATGTACTGGAACTTCTGTATTCAGGATGAAGGAAAGGCATGGACTTTATTCTCGAACGTCATCCGGAAAGGAGAGGAGAAGAGCAAGAAGAAACAGGAAAAGGGCACGTTAAGCAAACTGACGCCGCTCAAACAGCAAGGGATGGCTTATGTAGTATCTCACTCACTTACAAGGAGACACAGGATCTCGAAGGATCTTGCGGTCATTGGTACTCTCTCGACATTTGTGGAAGTCGGAGACCAGGGATCCAACCAGAGCTGCGCACATGTCTCACTGGGCTGCGAGGATCAAGCAGGCTGAAATGAGGCGCAGAGACTGTGCTACACACCATCATGGCATCTCGCACATCTATTCGTCCGTTTTGCAGCATGTGAGACGGCTTGCATCAAAGTCATCAATCCGAACCAATCGTTCTGATTTGGGGGCCAAAAGTCCAACCTGAAGCTGACGCCCAGAGTTCGTTGGAATTAAACATAGTCAACCTCAGGGCTTGGCAGGCAGGGTTTATCTGATGATTCATAGGCCCCTTCCACCTGGCCAGAATTTGTCTATTTACGATCTGCCTTGTGTAGAAAATCGATGTTGACTGATAGCACTTGGTGACATTTGACTGCACAGATGCCCTACGTGCCCCGCTATATTGTGCCTACATTCACAAATCGTCAAACCGTGCGCTTTCAAGCATGGCAGCTTCGGGCTCACTATATTGAAAAAACTCCCCGTCTTTTTTTATATGATAAATTCTTAATCCGATTTTCGAAGCTAGAGAGGCTACCGAGAAACTATCTGTAGCTTGCACGTGTTTCTAACAGTAAGTAGACGTTGAAATTCGCTGGTGTACCTCCGAAAGTCATGCAATGCAACGGAATTAGATCTTCCCCTAAAGTCCTCTTCAAAGCCAAGTTCACGAGAGAAAGTCTCCGCCTGACATGGCCAGTTCATATTCGTAATCCGGCTGGAACTCCAACCACATGGCCTCAGGTGTAGTCAACCGGTATGTATACTCAGCTTCGGCATCAGGACAAAGGTGCTTCTCGATCCCCGATACTACAGCAGCCTCTGCAAGAAGCTGTATGCGACAGGAGTTTTCCATCAGGGTATACAGGAACGCCGCCTCATCGACCGTCTTTCCTGTCGTCAAGAGACCATGGTTCTTCAAGATAGCACACCTTTTGTTGCCTAGAGCTGTAGCTATCCTCTCTCCTTCCGAGGCTTCGAATGCGATGCCGCCAAACATGTCGTGAACGGCATGATCTTTGAAGAATGTGCATGCGTCTTGATTGAGCATTTCTAGTGGTCTCCCAAAGGCGGACCATGCCTTGCCGTGGATGCTGTGGAAGTGGCATGCTGCATTGACGTCGGGTCGGGCTTCGTGAAGGGCGGAGTGGATGTTGAAACCTGCGTTGTTGATACATGCCTACAAGAACCGATTGATGTTAGTTGGCTGATCCGTTGGCTGATCCGCAAATTCAAGGTAGACGAAGGCACAACAGTCCGGACTCACATAATTTCCACCAATAATTTCTCCCTTCATATTGACATGGACCATGTCACTGGCTTTCATCAGACCAAAGTGGCGAGCAAGGCTAGAAACATCAAGACATAGTAAGAAAGCTGTGTTGTAGGTCACTGAGAATCGTGCAACTCACGGGTTGATCCAAAAGGTCTCAGGGTCGACCGGGTCACGAATCGAGATGTGACCGGCTGTACCTTCAACATACCCCTTGCGAGCAATCACTCGAAAGGCACCGGCCATACGTTCAAGCATCCATTTGCGTTCTTGATACAGGTCTGGGAATTTGGGAATGCCCTTGATAGGAGCACTTCTGCCAATAGTTGCACCGGTTCCGTCAATAGTTGATAATCCATCCATGAATGTGTCTTCGACCCTTGGGCGGAGTGCTTGCATCTTGGTGCTCTGATGTTCTGTTACCGAGGCTCGCGTTTGGATGGATTGCAATACGGTGGTAGTTGTAGCCATTTTTAGTATGTCAGAGGCAAAAGAATTGACTCCTCTGGATGTAGAAAGTGTTATGGATTCAATTCTGTACAATTTGACTGAGAAAACTTCAATCACGAGACAGCTGTGACACCGACTAGATCGATCCTGTTATCGTTCTGGGCTTCTTGTGAGAGCACCATGTCATGGGTTCCAACTACCATTACAACACCCCAGAATCCGAACCCAGGGAGGCGAACCGACCAGATGGAACCATGCAAGACATTTGCCATGCGTATCACTGCAAGAGATCCCGACTCATTCCAGCTACGTGGAACTACTAGCCCGGGCAGCTGACAGCGATGCCTTATCTTGACGCCATCTTCAGCCCAAATTGGCCAAGGTGGATCCTGTCGGAGTCTCTTTCCCCATGACATTCTTGCGGGCGTTGTCTTATCGCAGCGCAATACAACAATTGACAACTTCGGAATTACTCAATACTTATCTGCTAATTGTCTCGATTAATCTCGTATGTTTGATTCTTACCTTAGCTGCAGTTACGTGAGCGTAATAGCCTTGAGAAGTTAGTCGTGGTTAGACAACGCCATCGCAAGATATCATTTGTTCCTTCAGTCATGTTGAGAAGTCATCCCTATAGGGAAGGAAACGACGAAGACAATACCATCATAGAGGAGGGGCGATCTGTGCAGCGATTGTGCTTTGCATTCGAATACAAAGCGACGGCTTCCTCGGACACAATGCTTTCCTCGCCAGTCCATCTGCTGGGGCTGGCACGGCACATCGCATCGTCACCACGGTCACTTGGATATATTTAAACGTTTTATCTTTATACTCCATCGTTCATCTACATTATGTCTACAGTATCCATCACGCCTACAGCTGCTTCAACTCAAGGCCCTTGGGGCCGTGGCCTTGGACTCTGCTCCGGACAACGGGAACCCGACTATGATCTCTTGCAGCCCTTCGAAACCATGCCAGAGGAGATATCTGGTTCAACCGTATGGGTAAAGGAGGAGCTGAGTCAAAAGACCGGGCGCTGGCTTTATCATTTTACTGAAGATCAGGTCAAACACGTCATTGCTGCCGTCCGCGATATCGAAAACCGAGGCTTTCAACTCTCTGAAGTCGACAAGACAACCTTCGAGCTCCCTGGCCCCTTTAAGGACTTTCTGTATAGAATTCGGAACCAACTGATCAACGGCATCGGCTTCGTCGTGCTACGTGGTCTTCCCGTCGAATCTTGGACAACCCGACAAGCCTCGATCGCGTACCTAGGCATCGGTTCCTACATCGGCCGCCGGTTGAGCCAAAATCGTCAGGGACACATGCTCGGACATATCAAAGACCTTTCTGAAGGCAAAGAAGTCAACGGGGAAGGCAGAATCTACCGTACGCAGAAGGCTCAGACGTACCACACGGATGAAAGCGACATCGTGGGTTTGCTTTGCCTTCACCAAGCGATGGAAGGCGGAGAGTCACAGGTGGTCTCCAGCCACAACATCTACAACACTCTCAGACGAGAAAGACCAGGTATACTACGCCAATTATGCCTGCCGCACTGGTTCTACGATAGAAAGGGGGAGGCGAGCGAGGGAGAAAAGGGGTGGATGCGTACTCCGGGCTATTACTATTACAAGGAGAAGCTCAGCATGAAGTGGGACTCTTACTATGTCGGAGCGCTACAACGCTTCTGGGACGCTGGGCTTCTTCCACAGTACACGGATGCCCAGCGTGAGGCGATCCAGGTGATGGAGGACATGTGCCGCCGACTATCGTTGGAAATGACGCTACAGCAGGGCGATATCCAATTTGTCGCCAACACTCATAACCTTCATGCGCGATCTGCATACAAGGATGATAACGATGTCACGAAGAAACGCTGGTTACAGAGACTTTGGCTTGCTACCTCAGAAGAGGAGGGCGGATGGCCATTGCCGTTTGCTGATAGTCGGTATGCTAAAAGAGGGGGTGTTCAAGTTAACGATACTCCTGAGTCGTATCCAACAGAGGCTGAGTAGGCAATAGCTACGCGTATTCTAGTTCTAAAGTACCAGAGAGTGAAGCTCTTCAGCAATAAAATATCTGTGAAGTCCGGTATTGGAAGAGAAAATTGTGTATGATATGTCATAAGAATAAGATTCATCATCATAGGTTCTTTAATCTTCACGGCGCTCCTTTGCGCGGTATTTATTCTCATCTCGGAATCAGGCGACACCTTGCCTCGTCGTAGTCTAATCCGGATGAGGTGATCGCGATCATTAGTCACCTAGCTTGCAACAAGGTTTAAGGACCGCACTGTGTTCGGAACACAAATTCGCGCAAACCTTCACCTTGAACACGTACCTAAACAGTGCTTAGCGGGGTAAGCTTTCAGTGATAACACCGTATCCATCAAGAGGCCCTGCTTATCTCGACGCGGTCCGAGAAAGGTGTGGTGTCTTGCCGCAAATTCCCGGTAAGCCATCTGCGCCATGCCCAACTTCTCCTCACATTCAATCAAAGTCTCCGAGTGCTGACCTTGCATTCACGGGTGGGCATTACCCCGGAATTTCCACCGCAGGCGCCTTGATGAGGAGCCCGTCCGAGCCAGCCACCGGCGATCCGCTCCCGAGCATGACCCCACGATGCCGCCGCCTAAATCGGGACAGCGGTCGATGACCTTTACCGGGTACGTTTTGGAGAATGTCTCGGACCACTTTGACAGGGGTGTGGACTGACTTGTGCGCGATTCATTGGGCGACAACAGGTGCTGGACCTGCAAGAGGCGCAAGGTGAAGTGTGATGAGAGGTCTTCTGGTTGTGGGAACTGCGAGAAGATGAAGATCCCTTGCGAAGGCTACGGCATTAAGCTTCAGTGGATCAACGTTTCGAACCCATATCTTGAGCAGGAGAAGCCTGGCAGTAGCAGTAATGGCAGAGGGAGAATACGGATTGGTAGGATTCTCATCCCATTACTTACCCTTTCTGCCCACATGTCCTGGTATTAGTGGCTGATGCACATTTGGGGCCCTTTACAGGCCGTGATACAGGGCCAGAATATCAGATGAGAGACATTGACTCCTTCTTGGCATCCCTTGAAGAAGCACCAAACTCAAAGGGCGTCATACAAGAAGGCCCTTTCTCTCTTTTTCAAGCCCATGACGGTAGTCACGAATCTGGCCAGAGTCACGACTTAGGAAATCCCGATATTGCAGCCTCGGACTGCTCATTGGTCACCAATGCTCATCGCAGCTCTGAATCAACACGGTCCCAGAAGGACGCAACGACTTCACCTATCTACACTGACTGCGCAAGCTCAAGTCCTTCATTCTCGACAGCACGAGAGGACGGATCTCCAAATCAGATTGGGCTCGATGTGGAGCTCATCAGAACCTCGGAGGATGACCATGCCACACCAGAATTCCAGCTCCAGGAAGAGTTCAACTCTTCGCTGGGCGAGATTGCAGACCTATTAGAAGACTCAGTCGAGTTGTTGCCGATGCAGCCGCAAAATAACATTTCATCCATGAGACTACCGAGACGAATATCTACCAGCATATCAGGCGACGCAGTCATCGATAGACTTATGCATCACTACGTGGAGAACATCGCGAGCCTACTCCAGCCCATTCCACATCCCCAGAATCCTTACCGAAAGCTCTACGTCCCGGCAGCTCTCCAGGCAATATCGGAATGGCTGCCGAAAGCAAAAATGGCCACACCTACCGTTTCTTCAGTCATTTTTCACTCCCTTATAGCATCATCTGCTTTCCATCTCGGCAATTGTGGCCCCGAGCAGGCGAAATACCTTGCCCTCGGGTCGCAGCATCGCCAAGTAGCGCTGCATTGCTTACAGTCCGCCATCAACCCCGCCATGGCAACATCGGAATACAAGCTTCTCATGGTGGCCATGTTATCAATGGTGACCATTAGCAACGTGAGTTCCTTATCCCATTCCCCAAATGTGATGTGTGAAGTATGCTGAGCTTTATCACACAGTTCACGACAGGCAGTGATGCCGACTTTGTGGTCCACCTTCAAGGCACAAAACAGCTGCGGAAAACGCGAAGGCGATGGAAAGTCATCAGCAGAGCCACGCGGCAACTGAATGAAATTAGCGACTTTCTCTACCTCCTCACTCGCACGGTCTCATTCTCCTTTACGCCAGGGCCTTGGCCATCAGAGGGTGCAGAGGATATAGACGAACCAATCGCCTCGCAGGCAGAGCCCGACAGCTGCTTCGGATACATGTACGGGATCACACCCGCCATCGCTGTGGATATCGAGGAGACCTGCCGACTGGCGGAGTATCTCCTCTGGTACGAAGGCACCGAAGAGCCCATCCCAGAGGGACTGCTCGAGGCCTGCGAGAGTCTTGGCGATCGATTATGCAACTGGTCTCTAGACCTCGAAGACGTCCGCCAAGCAATGAACCAGGACGCCGAAACCCTGGAAATCTTTCAACACCACGCGGATGCGTGGCACTTGGCTGCAGTCATTTACTACCACCGACGCATTCAAAAGTGTCACAGCGAAAATCATCAGCAGCTCCTCGCCGAAATCGCCGAACACATGCACGCCGTCGAGGACATCAAAACGCGGTCGAAGTCCACAAAGACCAACTTCATGGCGCCCATAACGTGGCCCGCCTTCGTAGCCTCGTGCGACGCCAGCGATCGCGGACCGTGGGAGCACTGGTGGGAGAGGATAAAGTGTTACCGGGTTGCCAACAGCCGGACGCAGTGGAAGGTGGTTCAGCGTTTGTGGGAGAGACGGGATGAACTAGAGCAAGCGGGCGTTGATACGTTTGATTGGATACAGGCGTTTAAAGACTTCGGGATTGCTTTGTTTCCAATCTGATTATTAGGTTATGCTGGCGCAAGGCATGGGATAGGGATTATTGGCGCTTTGATGATACTCCTTTAGACTTCTGAACTCTGTACATCAAGTTGAGAATTTGTTCACCTCGGCTACTAGTTGCAACTCGCTAGTTTGATAGCCCGACTTCGACCTACCTACCTTAGTCTCACCAGCTCTTCTCCCATCCTCTCTCGGAGCCCAGATCTTGAGCCCGTTGAGCTACCCCAATGCAAGTCGACGGAATGCAGTGCCGTCGCCGCACGCAGCTAAGTGAGGAGAGCTTCAGGCCGCGGGCCGAGCATCGTCCTCCTCCCCCGCATTCTCCAAGTGACATCACGATCCCAACCAAGACAAACCAAGACGAACCAAGCAAACAATCCGTCTTTTCTCCGCTCCGCCGATCCCTCAACCCATTGATCTACTGCAATCAAGGCAAATGCTACCCAATCCCAGAACTTCCCTCACATCACCACGTGGGTCCGTTGTCAGTGCGGCCAACGTTCCGCTCACCTAAGTCGAAATAAGCAACGCGGGGTAGGTAGACTCCCGCCCTCGGGCATGGATATTTGACCTTGCGGACGTTTTCCGGAACGGAGAGTAGCCGCACCCCCTCCTCTCCATTGGATGTTTCAATCTGCCGAGCTTCTTCGCCGATGGGGCTTACACTCACACGTACCCCAGCCGCTGACGACGGGAACCTTTGGCAACCTGTTTGGGTTGTGTGGGCTGCGTCCGAACCACGGAGAGATACCCGAAGGTTTATATTCAGCCCATGGGGCGCGAAAATGGAGGTTGATCGCACTCGTTCCATGTGATTGTGATCGTGATTGCACTCGACCAACTTTTAACCTTCATCGACTTGCGAAGCCTGAAGCTTTAGTGAATGTTGGCACCCTCCGACACCTAGCTCAAGGCCAACACAGAAGGCGATCCAGCATTGCCACGATGGACTCCTCGTACGCTTCGCGCAACGAGAAACTTGAAATCTCAGAGCTCGAAAATGGAGAGCATGAGCCTGTTACGAAGAAGGGGGAGATTGAGCGGATCGATGCAATAGCTACGGCGCAAGGCACAACGCTAGCTTCCTTTGCGCATCTGGATGAAAAGAAGATCCTGCGAAAGGTGAGGGTTTCCATTCCCATTACCATCGTCAATGCATGGAGACTGACTGTTGAACTTCCAGATGGACATTCGACTCATCCCGATGCTGGCTTTACTCTACCTACTCTCATTCCTGGATCGCAAGTTTCCATCCTTCCTTTCCTTTTGAGATTTATGACTGACAGCCCGGCCAGGTGGAAACATCGGAAACGCCAAGATCGAAGGACTCCAAGAAGATTTGGGAATGACGGCTGATCAATACAACTGGTGCCTCACCGTCTTCTTCTTCACCTACGCCGCGTTCGAGGTCCCGAGCAACCTGCTGCTGAAGAAGCTCCGCCCGAGCGTGTGGCTGCCGACCATCATGGTCGCGTGGGGCCTCGTCATGACCTTGATGGGCATCGTGAAGAACTACCACGGCCTATTGATAGCTCGCATCTTTCTCGGAGTGACGGAGGCCGGACTGTTTCCCGGTGTCTCAGTAAGTATTCTCTATGTTACATGTTACTATCAATTATCATTTCGGTCGGCGCGAGTGACAGTGTTAGCTGATATATGATTAGTACTACTTGACGATGTGGTACTGCCGCCACGAAATTCAGCTTCGCCAAGCCATGTTCTTCTCGGCGGCTTCCATCGCTGGTGCCTTTAGCGGTCTCCTCGCGTTCGCGATTTCCAAGATGGATGGCATCGGTGGGCTGGAGGGATGGCGCTGGATCTTCATCCTTGAGGGTATCGTGACCGTCCTCGTTGCCATCATGGCGTTCTTTGCACTCCACGACTTCCCTGAGACGGCCAAGTTCTTGACTGAGGAGGAGCGAGCGTTTATTGTCTTCCGACTGAAATACCAGGGCCAGGTGCAGGGCAAGCAAGAAAACCGCGTGCAAGTTGCCGAAGCGGAGGAGTTTAAGTGGAAATACGTCGTGGACGCGTTTACCGATTGGCAGATTTGGATCAACATCTTTGTGTACTGGGGTGTAAGGCTTCCTTTGACTACTATCACCGACGTATGAATGCTGACATTGGCAAACAGATTGTATGCCCGCTCTATGGAATCAGCCTATTCCTCCCGACCATCATCCGAAACCTAAATTACACGTCCAGCACGGCGCAGCTGATGACTGTACCGATTTACATCACGGCTGCGATTCTCGCCGTCATTGTGGCATACATATCAGACAGGGTTGGCAAGAGAAGCCCTTTCATCGTCGGATTCTTGTGCATGATGATTGTTGGATTCTCAATGTTAGTAGCCTACCGTGTTCTTCTCAGAGAACTTCATGACTGACCGACCCACTACACAGGTGCATATCAAGCTCGAATCCCAAAGTGGTCTACGGAGGCGTCTTCATAGCTGCTTGTTCCATCTACCCCGCCTTCCCAGGAGTCATTAGCTGGCTCTCGAACAACCTCGCCGGAAGTTACAAGCGCAGCGCAGGAATGGCGCTCCAAATCGGCGTGGGCAATCTCGGTGGCGTAAGACACTCTCGTCTCAATATGATATATGGATTGATGAGAGCAAAAGTGCTAACTTTGAGGAGGCCATGGCATCCAACTTTTACCGCCAAAAGGATGGCCCACGATATATCCTAGGCCACGCCCTCGAGCTCGGGTTCATATCGGTCGGTATCATCGCAGCACTGATCCTCATCTCCAGCTACATTGGCATTAACAAGAAGCGCGACCGGAAGATGGCGGCTGGGGAGGACAGCAAGTTTACTGCAGAGGAGCTGTCTGGACAGGGTGATCGAGCTGTTACTTTCCGTTACATGTGGTAGCGGCAGATATTGATGGAGATGTTGTAATCTACGCCAAGGTACTCAATGGAATGAGACATGAGAAACTACTTATGCGTGGTGAATGATGACATGAAAGCCTCAGAAATGCTGTAGGAATGGTCTCATAGCAATGGATGACCGCACCTCTCAAGCTCTGGGAGGCAGCTCGCATATCCTACCGATAGGATGTCGTTACTGGGAGCCCATACGATTAGAAACCGCCCTCATTGCAAGTTTGACTCGTGCGCGATATGACTAGTTCCGGAGAGGGCAGGGCCGAGTGGGGCCGTAATGGGAGCCGGAGCTGGGGAACACCGCGCCTAGCCCCGGCGCGCAATACGGCAAGGGTTCAAGAAATGAACACTGTATGTATTGTAGCAGTCCCAGTCTTGAGGCAGCGGCTGTCTGTGGCGGAGATTTTGAGAACGGCACATTATCCCAGGCTTTGTTCATCTGAACTTAGCAAGTTATGCTTACTTTCAACTACCCTCGCATCTTTCACTCTGAGCCTGCGACAAGGCTCTCATCGCGTGTTTGCTCATGTCATCGACGTCTCACTCAACTCATTTCTTTTTTTTTCCCATTTCAATGGAAACGTATTGAAATTGCCTTTCAAACATTGCAATTTTGAATAGGTTAAGATATCCTAGCACGCTAAGCACTAGACGTGGAAGCATTCAGATGTTGTATTCAGTCATGTACAAAGCGGAACACCTCGAGATGTGTGATCGAAGTAGTTGACTCGACGTGAACGACCCGAATAGGTTAATGATGCACATGCAAAACGATACTGCCCTTGTCATTATGAGTAATCTGCAGGCCAAGTGGAACGTTGATGTTACTGCTTACTATTCAAGGCCAGCTCACGCAAACTGTCCTTCCAGACGCACTTAAGGTGTGGCGGGCGGAACGCCGGGGCTCACAGGTGCGGGGCAACCGAATCCGCCCGTCTCACTTGCCCCCGGACACGGCAGCCCGAGCCCAGCGCAACTTCTCCCGGTCAATTGTCTTCTTTCCCAACAACGTGGCCTGCTACCGTGTCCTTCGGGTGTCATTTGCGACCTCTCTTGTTGACCCTCACATCCTGTGCTTTTGTCTTCTTTCTATCTCGAGCACTACGATAAATACCAGCTGGCCCATCACTGTAGGTGCCTGGTTCGGATCGCTCAGCGGAATATCAACTGCTTCCTTCTCAACCCAACACTACAGACATCATGGCCGCTGCTCTAGACGCCGTCCTCGCCAAGTACATCGCCTCTGGCCAAGACACAAACGACAAGCTGCTGGGCGCCTCATTCATCGTCATTAACAAAGATGGTCAGACTTCTTCCGGTTGTGTTCCTCAGACCTCCCCATCTGATGACAGCCACAGAAACCCTATATAGCAACGCAGCAGGTCGCCTTGATTTTCCCACCGAGGCGCGCCCTTGGGAACTCAACACGTTCACCTACGTAGCATCACTCACCAAGGCCATCACTTCCACCGCCGTCATGCAGCTAGTCGAGCAGGGCAAGCTCCGGCTCGACGACGACACGCGCAAGATTGTACCTGAGCTAGGAGACATGCAGATCCTCCGCGGCTTCGACGAAGACGAGAAGCCTATCCTAGAGGACAACACCACGCCTATCACACTCAGGTACCAGGATCATTGGAAAATGCCACTTGACTGCTCTAGGTGACATACTGACGTAAACCGCCCAGAATGCTTCTGACCCACACCGTGGGCCTGGGCTACGACTTGATGCCAGACCTCCAGAAATGGTCCAAATCCATCGGCCGCACCGTGACAAACCTCTCAGGTACGCTCGAAGGCTTCAAAACACCCCTCTTCTTCGTCCCAGGAGAAGGGTGGTACTACGGCACGGCTACCGACTGGGCAGGCCAGGCCTTGGAGCGCGTCACAGGCACATCCTTGAGCGCCTACCTCGCCGAGCACATTTTTGGCCCGCTCGGTATGAAAGACACGGGTTTCTGGCCGGACAAGATGCCCCACGTCGCCGAACGGACCGCTGCATTCCAGATCCGCGGCAGCGACGGATCGTCTCTTAGTCCGGGGTCTAGTCCGCGCAACGTCAGTCCCAACGCAATTGACAGCGGCGGCGCAGGTCTATGGACTACAGCGCAAGACTACAGCATCTTTCTCTCCGCGCTGCTGAATAACACGCTCGTGAAGAAGGAGACGGCGGACGAGATGTTCCGGCCGCAGCTTGACGAGCGACAGGCGAGACAATTCGAGAAGCTCACGGCTGAATGGGGCGGATCGCTGGCGGTGGAGTTTGAGCTGGATATGGAGCTGAATCACGGGCTGGTCGGGTGTATCAACATGCGTGACGTGCCCGGGAAGCGCAAGAAGGGGAGTCTGCAGTGGAGCGGCATGTGTAACAGTCACTGGTGGCTGGATCGGGAGACGGGCGTTGCTGGAGTGCTTCTTGTTCAGTCACAACCTCATGCCGATCCGGTTGTGACGAGGTTGTATGACGATTTGGAGCGGGCTGTCTACGGTGAGCTTCTCAAGATATCGTAGGCATGTGATCCCAGGTCTATGCACTATGCCAGGAGTACCTGCGATTCGTATTATGAGGCAGCCTCGTCGGGCATCTCCATAGACTCGAGTACACTTTCCAAAACCTTCCTGCACTGCCTTCTATAGCGATACGCCATAATCTGATTCCTCGTCGCCTCGGCCTCCTCCATCTCGAACTCGGACTGGTCCAGCCGTTCGAGCTCCTGCAGCACTTTGTGCTGTATGATGCCGATCGTCTGGAACAGCAAGGGCTGCGTGGCCGCGGGGACCCGTCCAGTCAAGATCATCCTCAGCCTCTCCAGATCTGCCTTGCTCCCATCGTCGTCATTACTACCCTCCGGCACCGGAATCATCTCGCTCCGCTGCTCAGCCGTCGTTTGCGCGAGAACGAGCTCCCACACCATTACATCCTGCACATGCCGAAACGGAGGCAAAATCGCGTCCCCATCGACATCGCTAAGCAGTTGTCCAGATCGCGCGGCCACAGAGCTCGGATCAGACACGGGCCTCAGAGAAATCAAATAATCCTTGGGCTTGTTGATCCCGGATGCTGCTGCCCCGGCGCCATCACCACCTTTCTCCGCCGCAGCCTTGGCGCCACCACCGCGCTTCTGGACGTGGACGTAGTCATTGTGCAAGACCTCCGATTCGGGGATGGTGAAGCCGTACGCCAGCATGAGTTCGGCGTTGGTCTTGGTGGTGCCGTAGTTATTGAAAACTTGCGCACCAGGGGCGTACGTATCCAGCGTGCGCAGGCCGACCGTGGCCTCCTCATCCCTCACAGCATCATCGGACGTCTCCCACGCGATCCTGGCAGTCGGGCTATGGTTCCCCACGTCAAACAGGGGCATCAGCAGAGAAAAGTCATCGATGGCGCAGCCCTCCGGCAGCGAGAGGGTGTGCTGCCTGTGGGCGGGGATGACGAGGGACGGGCGGAAGCTCCGACTGGTGAAGATGCAGTAGGCCCAGTTGTAGAGGAGGCGGGTGTAGTCGTGCCTGGCCGGGTCGTCGCCGAAGGCGGCGAGGGCGTGTTTGTGTTCGGCCTTGAGGCGGGATTTGATCTCGGCGATGGCGACGTGGGCGTTTGTGTCTTCGAGGAGCTCGATGTCGTCTGTGGGCCAGAGGGGCGGTAGGGCCCAGGCGGCGAGGTTCGTTGGCTGGGGGAGGGTTTTGATGTAGGGGTGCCATAAGGAGGATGGGCCTTGTAGGTATTGCTTGATGAGGAAGAAGCGGCTGATGACGTGCGGTGGGACGGACTCGAGGAACGAGGATGGGAATGCTTGGGAGGAGGAGCCGTGATGGAAGCCTGGGTTGGGTGTGGTGGTGGCGTTGAGGTAGGAGAGGGTCAGGGCCAGGGGACAGGTGACGACGGTGTCGCCCGGGTTGACGCCGGCGCCGTCGGGGGAGACGCGGAAGGAGTTTCCGGTGTTGGAGTCGTTGTAGACCTCGACTGACGGGTGGAGGGCGGCTCCGTGAGACTTTGCCCAGCCGACTAGCTCATCCATCGCGGCTGGCTGGGCTGGCTCGATGTGCACGTGGAGGGGGTGAGTGGAGGTGTGAGTGGGTGAATAAGTTTTTTAATGAGTATGAGTGTGTGAGTGAGTGTGATTATGTGGTTGAGAGTGAAGATGTGAACGAATGAGTTTGTGAGAGTGAACGTGATAGTGACAGGGTGTGAGCTAAAATAGCCTCTTCACGTTTTTGGCGCCGGCAATGCGAGTAATTCGATGTCCGGGCCTAAGCTCAAGGCACAGATCTTGGAACTCTGGACCCTTCTTGAGTTAGCTCGTTCTTCAGCAGATTAGATTGACTGGTTCTCAATCATCGGGCAGGCAAATGGTGTGCTGGTGTGTGTGGTTTACGTTCAGACTTTTTTTTTTGGGCGTTTTCTTCAGCTTCGGCGTAAGGGTCCCCGGTGTGTGCGGGGTTCAAAAATCAAAAGCTCGGTGAAGGTGGGGGTGTGTGAGGTCAGGTAAAGTGTTCCTCACCGAGAACTTGGAAACTAGTCATAGTGGCGTCAATAGAGTGGGAAAATCGGTGGGTATCGATGATCAGCCGTTTTCCATCGAATGATGTGGCTTTCTCTGACATGGGACCAGCGATGAAGAGACGCAGGTCCGTACGGCCATCCCTGCGTATCGTTCGTCTGATGGTTGCGCTGGACAAATCTTCATCAACGGCACACGTTGGTGTTGGTGAGATGGGTCATGTCGTTGATGACTCTACGTAGTCCGGTAGTGTGGTCAGCCTTAGGTGTTGCATTTCCACTCCAGAGACTCATCTAGATTCATACCCCATGAGCTTGCCGATCATCGGAGCAAGCAAGGCTGATGTCGTACTAGTAGAACAGGCGACAAAAGTGCTCGCCAAGTAGTGTAGCTGAGGTCTAAGAGAACCGGGGCCTCGCAGCTTCATACGCAAATTGTAGAGGCTTCTGGTTGAGGATCATTTGCCTAGTGTTACGCCCGTCATCGTTCCTGCGTACTTAATGACAATCTCACAAAAGGTAACTAAGATTCAAAACAAGGCTTATGCTATCCCCAATCTCTCTGATGTCTTCCTTCTTCGTTCTGAACCCTTTCCCGCCATAACTCGGGATATCATACACAGCCTCAATACCACACCCAGAACCTACGAGAACATTTCACTCATCCCACGACCCATACCCACGCTATCATCACCCATCAAGCGGCTTCTGCGCAGCAAGAGTATGAAAATGCACATACGAATGCACACTCCGATCCAACAAATCCCTCCTCACCTCAATCAGAAAAATCTCCACCTCCTCAGGCGTCCACCCCAGACCCCTCGTAAACGGCCCAATCGTAATAGCATGCAACCCATCATAGATCGCCGCGCGGCAGTACTCCCCAATCTTCTTCAGGTCGTCGTCCTTCGCCCAGGGCCCCACGGGCACCTTCTTCACCTCGTGCGCCAGGTTGACGAAGCCCGCGGCTGCGACGTGCGCGGGGTATAGTTCGGCCGCGTTCATCTTGACATCGAGCTTGGCGAGTGCTTCTTTGATGTTGGCGACCATTTTTACGGGGGCAAAGGTCGAGGGCATGGTGTTGTCGTCGCACCCGTAGACCCAGCGCATTTCTTGGAGTTCGATCCATCCGCCTGGTTTTGTGACGCTGGTGGGTGTTAGTCCATGTGAGAGAGTATCTGCTTATTCCGTGTTTGGTATGTCCGGCAGACCGGGGCATCGTCACGGGCCATCCGCTGGAGACGGCTAGGGCTTACCGGTATGCTTCGGCGAACAGCTCCGGCCACTTTTTGATGGAGGGGGCCATGTTGCGGAGGTGGACAAAGTCAAAGTGGTTGTCCGGGTAGACCCATTCCACCTCGGCGTCGTCGACCATGAACCGGACGTTGGGCGGCACGAACTCAGGCTGGATCGGGCTCAGGTCCACGCCGATGATTTCGGCCTCGGGGTACTCGTCGCCCACTATTCATATGCATTAGTCCGTCATCATTCTGCTACACGAGATCACCTCCACCCAAGGAAGAGATGTGATGAGAGTGAGCGGTACGCACTATCAATAGCCCATATCCCCGTCCCCGTCCCAACATCGATAATCCGCTGCGGATTTTTCAGCGGCGCGCTGTGCAGCTGCCCGCCGCAGAGGTGGACGACCATGGTATGCTTCATGTCCTCGCGCTCCTGCTCGTCATCGTCATTGGGGAAGTGGTACTGGCCCTCCTTGTAGCGGTGGTACCGCCGCCGGTTCTCGAAGCTATAGTCGCGCACGTGGGAGGCCAGCGACGTCGACGCCCGCGAGGAGCCGGACTCGGTCCCGCTTGCGTAGCCGTCGTCTGGGCCTGGCGAGGTCGGGTCGGGGGTTAGTTCTGGGGCTGGGATGAGGTGATCGTCGGCTGGGATTGGGGTACCAGGGGCTGCTGGTGCTGGTGCTGATGTTGTGGTGGAGCTGTGAGCATCGTGAGGTTGCGATGCAGTGGGGGGCGCGGTGGGTGCGGCGGGTGCGGCGGGTGCAGTATCTGGTGTTGAGGATGTTGCTGGCGGTTGCGCTGGTGTTGATATCGCAGGGGAGGGATCTGAGGCGTCTTTGGGTGCCGCTGATGCGGCTGGGCTGTCTGCCATTGTCTTGCGGTAGAACTCTGGAGTTCTTCAACCACAAAGCGCGAAAGGAAGACGGTGAGTTGAAATGGCGTGAGATGCGTCGATGGAAGGGAGCTCGGGAGGAGCTTTTGAGAAACTGTGGAATGGACGCATGGGTAATCCCCGAGGCGGGGGCAACTAGACCGAGGAGACCCACGGATACCTTTACTACGTACGGTATGGATAGCTTATAAGTAAGCATATGGTCTTGTTAATAGGCCTCGATCCGGAATAGACGGGAGTCTGCGGTTGCAAACTTGGACGCCCTTGGAGACCGTGGACGGGGTCTTTGAGGTCTCGAGGGGGCAGACTACTGGCGCCATCGCCCACTACTTTTTCTTTACAATCGAATCATAAATGCCGAAACCAGACAACCATGTCGCCGCCATTAACAGCCGAGGAAAGCCCAGGGGCACTAACCCCCACCAATTTTCACCGTGAATGATGAAGCTAGCCCAGAGGCGATGCGACGTAAGGTCGTTGAGTGTAGAGTAAGGTAGAACATAAATCTAAATGCTCCCTGCATCAATCCATTTAAGTTTCCCTGCATGAGTTGTCTCCTTCTCGTATCCGTACCTGTACGGAGCCGCACAGCAGCACAATGGAAGCCTTCAAACTCACCCTCTCGGACGGCAAGACCATCTCCGGGCTCCACAGCATCCCGTCCCCCACGGCCTCCAACCCGCTCCGCCCGGCTCACCCTCCCCTCATCGTCGGCCTCCACGGCGGCACCTACTCGGGTGCCTACTTCGACGCCGACGACACCTACACCGCCCGCCACACCAGCGCAGCGACTGGCGTGCCCTTCATCGCCCTCGACCGCCAGGGGTACAACGATACCTCCCCCGTCGGCGAGGACATTCCCTCGTCCTCCTCCTTTTACGAGGAATGGGGCACCTCGCTCCACCGCGACATCCTCCCGGTCCTCTGGGATAAATTCGCCGTGCCGAACGGATGCACCTCCATCGCGCTGCACTGCCACTCCCTCGGTGCGCCAGGCGCGTGCGTCGCAGCGGCGCTCTGGTCCGAAGAGACATCCCCCGCCTACCCACTCGCCGCCCTCACCATCTCAGGCTTCGGCAACGCAGTCAAAAACTGCCGCACAGGGGACTTCACGCCGGCAGATGATCCCCCTCCGTCACACGTGCACTTCCCGCACGCAGCAAAGGACGCGCTCATGTTCCCGCCGGGTACGGCAGACCCGGCGATGCTGACGCACACGGCGCGCCTGGACCGCCCGATGCCGTACCGCGAGATGGCGGATTTGCGCGGGAAGTGGCTGGCGAACTGGGAGGACAAGTTTGCGGGGCGGATCACGGTGCCGGTGTTGATTGGGCTTGCGGGACGGGACGGACTGTGGTTGTCGAGGGAGGAGGATGTGAGAGAGTATGTTGCGGCGTTTAGGAAGAGTCGGAGGGTGGAAGGGAGTGTGATTCCTGGGGCGCCGCATAATATCGAGATGAGTTATTGGTCTCAAGGGTGGTATGCGCGTGTGTTTGGGTTTGCGATGGAGGGGGCGGCGTCTTTGGCGATTGGTGATGGTGGTGGAGAGGGTGATGACTTTGGGAAGCATTGAAGTCTGTGTGCTAGGAGAGAGTGCTTCAAAAGAGGATGGCATGGCGCTCTGATGTATTGTCGACCGCTGGGTGTGTTGTTGACTTTGTTTGGTGTGACATGAATGGGTGAATGGGATGAACAATCTTCAAGGTACTTTTGAAAAAAACACGACATACACGACACAAGTAGGATATCACACATGCCTTCTTGATAAGGTATCTTCAAATTTACGCGCCGGCTTGGCCGTTCCCATGTGCGAACACAATGCTACGCGCATTCCAATGGTACAGATGATGAACCATTGGTCGTGTCGAAGCATAGAATGAACTATTCACTATTCACTATTCTCGTAGAATCTAGAAGCCGTCTTGAAAATTAAGACACTGATCTAAGTGTGTTTCCACTGACTTACAGTTTGAATATCGAATTGTGACTAGCCATAGCTAATTCGGATACCCAAAATCCCTGACGTACACCTAACCGGATGCTTTCATAGACAGTCGGCAAGGCCATTGGGAATCTGCGCTCTCTCAAGTCTATCGGGTTTGGTCCAGACAGCGCATTGATTGTCTCCATTTCAAACATCGAGAACCCGCTCGATCGAAAAGTTCTCGTTGTATGATTAGCGCTACCAAGAACCATTCCTTGACCCAGATGTTTCGGCCAATGAAGCCAAAATAGAGGCATACCGGTATTTTCATCACTGATCGGTAGTGGGCCTTTCTTGCTCATGTTGCAGCATGGAAACGCCTGCAAACCACCTCCTTTATACGTACCAGCTTTTCGTGGGAAAGTTAACAAAAGTTGAAAGGCGAAAACACTGTAAGGATGTCCAAAGATCGTTACCATGACTTGGAAAGGGCGGTACCCTAGTTGTAGCTGGCGCTGACGTATCCCATCGCAAAGGCCCAACTCAAGCTCTTGACAAAGACGCCCGAATCTTGGCTTGTGATGCATAGATGGGGGCCGAGCCGTCGCGCTGTCAATCCCGCACCACTTGAGTGCCCTGGCATGGATGTTCGAGAACATCGACGCAAAGAGCAGGGCACGGAGCGAAATTGATGGACGACATGATCTGAGGAAAATCGGAACCTCGTGTTGCTTTAGCCCAGATGATTCGTCACCTAGGTGCGCATCAATCGTATGATCCTGAGAACAGTGAGCCCTGAAGTCTGCACCATAAACCATGCGAAACTTGGTCCGGTACATCGCGGTGATGACGCTGCTGTGGATCTAGCAGCATAAGACCTGTCTGAAAATATCTCTCTCGCCGTGATTTTGAGCAGAATAAACGTCACACAAGGGCAGTCAGAAAGATCGGAAAAGTCGAGAGATCCTCTCAACTTCCCTAATAAGCGCATACGACAGCGAACGGGATGGAGAAACGTTGCGAAAGTTGCCCGGGGCAGGGATAGCACGCAGGCGGTGGAACCCAGGTGTCCCATGTCTGGGGTACTTGAAGAACCATCTTCAAGGTGTCGTGCCATGCTTTCCAAAGGCCAGGGAGTCCTCAAATTCCCGAACGCCATGAGAGAATCTCTCGGCGATGATGGATCAACTTGATCAATGATTTGTAAGGCTTTTGATGCGGTTCTCTGATGTCGTCGACACGAATTCAAGGAGGAACTCCTGCGAGACCTCTCAACGACCTGCATGACCCCCGCAACCACCGTGGCCCTTGTACCCGTTATACCTGTGAGCCAAAACTAGCCGCTTCCAAACTTGACGGGGCGCCGAGAATAGCGTCGTGGGCCGTGGTCTGTTTGGCATGGGCAAGCTAACGATTGGGGTACAGGTCGGGGTCGAGTTAAGCTGGCCCTCGCATCATTCTCCACCTCGGTGTGCTGGAATAAGGTGTCTATTATTGCAACGTTTGACATGGTCAATGGAAGAGATGGCGCTTGAAAATAGTACTATAATTCATCGACTTGATGGCCAAAGTCGCAGAACTTAGTAGGGTAGCTAGCCAGAAGGGCATGTCATATCGACCACAGCCAAGGGACTCTCTGCCGTTCTCCATGACGCTGTTCTTTCAAGAGGGGCAATTCCGGTGTCGGACGGTGGCAGGTATCGGTGATGTTCATCTGCTTCTCGTCAATCTCGGATTGGCATAGGGGAGAGGGTGCGCTTGGTCGAAATGGCTGCCGGTAGCCGCATGTCGGCCTCATGTAAGATGAAAATTCTGTACGAGGCGCGTAGTCATTTCTAACGTTCAACCAACTGTCCGTTCTTCCAGCTCAGTGTTGGCGGGTGGGTGGTATAGCCCAGTAGGAATGAGTTCCCAGATTCCTCGTAACTCGGTGACGGCGCCCCCCACGGCTGATAGAGTCGAACTTCAGTGGTTTAAAGATGGCTATATGCTCACCGACTACTTATGTCCGTGGGCGAGGCAGCGCTTGGATGGCAGCGATGATTTTGAGGGTGTATGAGATGAGATGCGGTGTGGTGGTGCTACTTGTGGGAGGTATGTCCCGCCGTGGTGGCTCGTGTCGCCATGGTGGTGTACTATTGGTGTGCCATGGGTTTGTTGCTTCACGCGGCGTTTGTTGTTCTCGCTGCTGTTGTTTCTGCATATTAAAGAGAAACATGTGCCTTTGATGTTTGGAGTAAGGTAGGTACTCAAGTGTTCGTCGAGATCAGATCAGGTGGTGAAGGTTGGCGGTGTTGACATTGCACTTGAGGAAGCAGCTCCGTGAACCTGAAAGTCATGGAAGGTAACAAACAGCAAGTGGGGTAGTGGCACAGTGGCGTATCGGACAGTACGTACTTGCATCAGCCAAGACGGGTTGGAGGTACCACCAAGTCGCTCAGGCACCTCGACTCTCACCGGCTTGGGGAGATATTGAAAGGTACAGATGCAGTGTCGAAGCAAGCGGTAGAATTAATTGTGAGGGCTCGATAATCATATACAGGAGCAACGCTATGGGTTGAACTTTGAACAAGGCGACGTCTCGGACTTCTAGTAACATGCTCATGTGCCTAATGTTAGGTACCTTGAGGTGGGTAACGCTAAGTGCTGCAGTACTCGGAGGTGAGAGAAGTGGTGTAACTGTGGCTTCCAACGTGCAGTACCAAACGGCACTTCAAGAGGAAAATACGGTAAACGGACGAGGCACCAAGTAAGCCACTTTGAATAGAGGTTGACAAGAAGGCAGGGACGTAAAGTCTAGCTAGTAAGCCCCGTCATGCTAAATTCCCTTTACAACAGGAAGGTATCTTGAGGTAGACGACAGGGTGGGTGTTTCCCCCCACAGCCAGGGCATCTTACCCATGTCAACGTGCTTTCTCCCACGCGGGGTGTCGCCCCTGTCTTGAGCTGCCATGCGTCACCTGCGAGCTGAGATTTTGAGATGGTGTCCTTCGGTGTCTCCCCATACCTGCTTGAGGAAGAAACTGGAAGTCGAGTACCTTCCTAAGGCACCTTACTTTAAATACGTACCGAATCTGGCCTGACGTTGCGTGACCTCACGGTGACCGTTCGCGGACGGCCCCACTTGGCCGCTACCCGTCCGAACGTACCGGTCGGGGAAGAGCCACTGCATGCTCCTTCCTGGTCCTACCTTACCTTCCATGTCACCCTTTGTGCTTAGGTAGGTACCTACTCATGCAGGGCACCTCCTTCTGCTTCCTTTCCTTGATACCTGGATGTACTCTGCCATTTGCATGACTGTGCCTCTTGTTCTACTCGCTCGTTACATGGCACTCGATACCGCATGTTAAAACTGTGCCTGCAGCAGGTACGGTCGGTACGGTCGGTACGGTCCAAGACACGTCCAAGTCCAATGCAAAATTCAAGGTGAGGGCAGGTGAGGTGATGTCCAATCGCTCCCTCTCTGACAATGTCTTGTCCTGTCCGAAGGCGCAGATACGGCAGGAATCGTCCCACGGTGGCTTCCCCAACCCGGTCAACCTCTTTAGCAACCTGACCTCCTCCTGCCTTTCCGCCCTCCTGAGGTCGTCTCGTCGTGCCTTTCCATGTTGCTGTTCGCTTCAGTTGTGTCCCAGTCCGGCAGCTGCTTCCCAATTGATCCTTCCCATTGATGTTCGTCCACCTACCAGCATCCCGCGTCCCGTCTGCCCCCCTCCTTCCCCCAGCCTGCCTGACACGCCTCCCACGCCTGCCACGCTTGCCATGCCTCATTTTTGACCGTGTCTGCCCACGTTACCTCCTTCGCTCGCATACCTACCTTACTCCAGCCTGCCTCATCACAAAACTCTTCCCTCCCCTCGCATCGAAAATTTCTCCCCCTGCTTCACTTCTTCTCTCCGTCAACAATCCATCTCTCAAGTCTACCGCTCAGTAAGGTAGACGATTGTGCTCAGCACACCCCAGACTCTGCCCTGCGAGAGGCATCGATTCCATCAGCGACACTTCCCTTACCTACTCGATACTAGACCCCAAAGCTCAATCTCGCCAAACACCGCCCATCATGGTGAACCCTAAGCAGCCGGGTCGCCAGTTCTCACTGGGAGCTTCCGCTCACCGCAGGAGACAGATGAGCAACATGCACGAGCAAGGCAATCATTTTGGTCCAGCTTTGACTGTGAGTTAACCCCTCCCGCCTATTCACGATATCCATCGCCTTTCCCCGCATGTCTCACTTCCATGGTCTGATGCGTCCATTTCACCCATTGTGTGAGACAATGAACCGAAGCTTCCGCTCAATTGATGAATTTCTGTCCTGGTTGTTTGTTAACTCAGTTCACTTTGTCGCTATGTTCCTTTAGTTGCTTGCTATGCAGCTTTTGAACGAAAAAAGGAACTTCACTGACAATACTGTTACAGACCCTCTACTGCGGTATCTCTGCCGTTTTCGCCGACTCCCACACTGCTGTGGTTGCCCTTGCGATCCATGACACTGTCTACCTCTTGGACTTCACGGTCAAGCATATCAACCTTGACGATAGCTCCCAGACCGGCAACGATGCCATTGCCGACTATGTCATCAATACCCTTGAAGACTATGAGCATGCCAACTTCTCCAAGTTCATTGGCGCTGGTCTGCCCATGACCCTCAAGTACATGAGCCAGACTCTGTGCTCCCGTCTTTGGCTCGAGCTCGACATCGTCCCCGTTGTCTTGCGCCCTGACGATGAGCACAAGGAGAAGAGCTTCTGGGACATCAAGCGCGTTGACGAGCAGGCCGATTCCATGGCCCGCAAGTGCATCATGTAAGACCGACTTTTTTGTTGCCTCATGTGCTTTGTGACTGACGAAATATTGCAGGAATTTTGGACCTTCCCTCGTTCCTCTTCTCCAGGTTGGCTGGAGAGGTGTGGTCCAGACCGACGCGGGCTTCCGTGTGCAGCTCAACACTATCCAGAACCACAAGGATACCTGCGGTGCTCCGACTTGGGATGCCACCATGTTCTTTGCCAAGCTGCTTCGCGAGAACAAGACCAAGATTGCCTTCTTCAGCAGTACCCCTCAAGGTGGAGGAGTCGCGTTGATGCGACATGCTCTCGTTAGGTTTGCTCGAACTATTGGTGTCGACCTGACCTGGTATGGTATGTTGTTTTCCGCATTGGACCGAGACCACGTTGCTGTTGGAGAATCGTACGGATCTGACATCATAGCTAGTGCCCAAGCCAAGGCCTGGCGTCTTCAGGGTGACCAAGAATATCCACAACATCCTCCAGGGCGTCAGCCACCCCGATCAGCGCATCTCGGCTGAGGAGAAGCAGTCCATTATCGACTGGATCACGGATAATGCCAACCGTTACTGGCTTTCCGAAGGAGGCCCTCTGCGACCCCCCGAAGAGGGCGGAGCCGACGTTGTCATGGTGAGATTTCCCCAAACCCAGTGTCCCCCGCTTGATGCAGCAAGCTGCTATCCCCAAGTTTTGCTACCCCTCCCCCCACTTGCACAGCTACCCCTCCACGGATGCATCCAATGTGGAATCATCTCCACAGGAGCTCGCTCGTCGGGTTCGCCCCACCCCTCTACTGCTTGACAGGACACCACTGCATCACATCCCAGCTACGATCATGGACGGCTGCTAACATTGTATGCCCCATCCAGATTGATGACCCGCAAATGCCTGGCTTGATTCCCCTAATCAAGAAGATTACACCGGATCGTCCTGTCCTCTATAGATCCCACATCCAGATTCGCAGCGACCTCACTGGAAAGGCTGGCTCCCCTCAGGAGGACATCTGGAACTTCCTGTGGAGCAACATTCAGCATGCCGACATGTTCATCAGCCATCCCATTCCCATCTTCGTTCCGCACAACGTGCCTCGCGAGAAGGTGGTCTACCTCCCGGCCACCACTGATTGGCTCGACGGTCTAAACAAGCCTCTTAACAAGTGGGATACTGGCTACTATGGCCACATCTACAATACTGCCTGCCGTAACCAGGGAATGACTGAGCTGGAGTGGCCTGCGCGCAAGTACATCATCCAGGTGGCTCGATTCGACCCGTCCAAGGGCATCCCCACCGTGATTGACTCCTATGCCGAATTCCGGCGTTTGTTGGAGGAGAAGGGCGAGACGGACATCCCTCAGCTCGTTGTCTGTGGCAATGGCTCAGTCGATGACCCTGACGCGAGCATGATCTACGATCAGACTATGAATCAGCTCGAGAAGCATTATCCTCACCTCGTCAAGGACTGCAGCATCATGCGTCTCGAGCCCAATGACCAGCTCCTCAACACCGTCATTGCCAACGCTCACGTTGTCCTTCAGCTCTCTACCCGCGAGGGTTTTGAGGTCAAGGTCTCGGAGGCGCTGCACGCTGGCCGTCCAGTCATTGCGACTCTTGCTGGCGGTATTCCGCTTCAGGTCAAGGATAACGTCAACGGCTTCTTGGTCAAGCCCGGCGACTACAAGGCCGTTGCAGGTCATCTGTTGAACCTCTTCACCGATGCTGACCTGCATAAGAAGATGAGCCACGCCGCCGCCACTGGTGTGAGCGATGAGGTCGGCACTGTCGGCAATGCTCTGGGCTGGTTCTACCTTGCCGCCAAGTGGGCCGAAGTCGGTGTCAAGCCTGGTCTGCGCGGCAATGAGCGCTGGGTCAATGACATGGCTCGCGAGGAGGCCGGCAAGCCTTACAGCGACAGCGAGAACCGTCTACCTCGTCACTTTACTGAGAAGAAGGAGATTCCCGTCGTCTCTGGAAAGACTAATGGCCAGAACGGTGACGATGGCCACTAAATGTCTAGGGCTGATTTCCTGCGAATGAACGTATTATGAGGTTGTGGCATGTTGCGGCTAGGACTTGGGGCGCTAAGAAATCATGGTATCGTGGAAAGAAAAAACGGCGGTTCTCGGGGTCTTTCATAAACTGAGATGTATGGTTGCTAGATGGCTTTCTTCGTCAGTACTCGAATTGATATCCCCACTTTAGTACGACTTTAGTTTGGGAAACTGCAGATGTTATCTTTGACTGATGGCGAGAGGCGAGAGATGATCAGAGAGATGGTGTGAAGATGGGGGATGAAATGTTTCGATGAGGACAATTGTGTTGGGGTGATCCCAGACGACACCAGGTGACAGGTTTAGCTGGCGGACGGCCGAGAGCGCCGCGCAAGCCGCAAGCCCCGGTCGGATTTCCGATTGCTACATCTCCAGTCTCACCGCGAATCACTTGAATCAGTCAGTTGTCGCGGCCAGCCGCGCGTACCCAACGCACCGGGCTGCGAACCAGGGCCTTTTTGGGAGCTGATCCTTCCGATTGATAAGCCAAGCCGCAGCCATAAGCTGCCACCTCCCGAGCTGTGCCTCTCTTTTTTTCTCTTTTCGTTTTGTTTTATCTCGACAGGACATGGCTCAACAGTGTTTGTAGATCTGGTGTGTTCCTTTTCCAAATCCGTACCTTAAGTTTGTCCCAAGGTGAACATTATGGTTCACCTCGTCTCGGCCGCCGCCGTCTTGGCGCTATCTGCTGGCCTGGGTTTATCTCCGGCGACGGCTCTCGTCTCGGCCGAGCCCATTTCGGCGCCGCGACCGCCTAATCATCAATCACTACCTTCAACGACATCATCGTCGTCAGTCGACTTCGCGCCGAGCGCGGATCATGCGCGAGAGAATGCGGTGCACATCTTCAACGCCGTACACTCTGCCATGCGGCAATGGGGTTCCTCGCTGCATCACAACGGGCTGGGTCTCATTCCCGCCACGGTGCCCAAGGGCACGCTGCTGTATCACGGCACGAGGTCGAATAGTACCCCCGACAGCTTCGAGTGGCTCGCATTCGAGATGGAGCACTCGGAGGGGTTCGCGAGGAGCTTCCGGGGCGGGAGGGGGTCGCCGCCTCCGAGGCCGCCTGGGAAGGGTAAGGGTCCCGGGGGTCCGCCGGGTAGTGGTGGCGGTGGACCACCTGAAGGACCGCATGGCTCGGAGCCTATTCTCATGATGGGACAGGAGGGGAGTCAACGGCCTATTGGGGCGGATGTCGACGACGATGATGACAGAAAGAAGCCTCCTCCGAAGGGACCTGGTGGACCCGGCGGCGGCGACGGGAAGCCCGTCCGGGGATACTTCCACACCTACCGCGCGAAGCGGAATCTGAAGCTGCTGTACCTCGACGGCATGGCGGCCGGTAAAACTGGCATGGGCACGCTCGACACACAGGATTTCCTGCTGCGCGGTCTCAAGGAGGCGCCCGGGTTCGGGGAGTGGGACCGGGCCGCGGATATATGTGATGTCGTCAAGGCGTGGGGGCTGGACGGTGTGATTAGGATGGAAATCGGCTTCGAGGCGATTTACTGCGACTTCCACGACGGGCTGGCGCTCGAGAGTGTGCTTCGGCGGCCGTGGAACGATGTCCCCGAGGCAGGGGGCGGTATCGACATGTTTGAGTGGGCGAGGGCCGTCGGGCAGCGGTATGATGGCATCGGCGGCGGGCGGGTGAGGCTTGGGTTTGGGGGGATGGTGAGCGGGTTGTGGTATCCTTTGAATGTGAGTAATCCGAATGGGAGGGTCGATATGCCGCGCCTGGGACGGTTGACGGAGGCGGAGAGGGGGGTTATGCTTGGACGGGTTGGGGAGATTGTGAAGGGTGCGGAGTGGGAGGATGGGAGGGTTGATTGGCAGGGCGTTGTTGATATGATTGTTACCAGGCATGGTGATCGGATTGAGACGTTGGCGGATGAGGGGGCGGATGGAGGGGATGAGGGGTTTGTGGCTCAGGTTTTGACTGTTACGAATACGTTTGTGGATTATCCGAGGGATGCGGACGATTCTGCTGTTGTTGCGAAGGAGCAGAAGGGGGAGGAGGAGGATGGGTACGTGAGGGAGGCGCGGGAGCGGTGCGTGAAGCACTTTTTGACGCCGGCGACGGTTTGGAAGGCCGAGTGGACGCCCGAGGACGGGATGATGTACGTTGCTGTCGAGGCTGTCGTCCAACGGCTCTGCGGAGACCTCTTTGATGTCCGGGGTATCGTTCTACAGGCGTTACCGGCGTTGGTCGGGACCGTTTCCGAAGCGGAGGTCCGGCGCGTGGTCGACGACAGTCACGGGGACGACGACAAGAAGCTCGAGGGTGCGGTGACAAAGGGCCGCAAGGTGATTCAGGCGCTGAAGGAGGATCTCGGATGGAGCACGTGGAAGAAGTGTAGGCCTGGGTGCGACGTCGGGGAGATTTGCTTCATTGCCATGTGGCCTTTTGGGCTGGAGGAGGATCACTTCCATCCGAGCTGTCATAACCGCAGTTCGTTGGCGGGCAGGGATGGGCGACGGGGTACTGGGAAGGGGTATTGGGAGTGGGAGCCTAGGCCTTGAGGGTGGTGATGTAGATAGAATAGGAGGGGCGGGTAGATTTCCTTGGTGTTTCGATTTGGATCGAGATGTTTCCTAGATTCTAGCTCGCTTCTATATCGAGATCCTGACACGGTTCTAACTTTGAACCTTTTGCTGGAGAGTGAATACGACGCCGGTGATGTGTATTCACCTCGACGAGGCAGGATACTTGAATACCTTTCTCTTGGTTCCTGTCACCAAGCGCTTCGGGTAAGTTGGTCGAGGGGTTCATGGGGGAAGACCCGAGTGTGGATCTTAGTCCCTTCGACCACCGGATCTGACGTATGGTTTTTTGTTCGATTCCCTATCGAGGAATGACTTTTCGTGAACTTTCTAGAAACTGTTATAAGGCTGTTGAAGTGAAGAGACAGATGATAGGCATCACGCACCACTTGACCGGATTAAATTAGCCAGTATATCTGCTCTTCATGACGAGGGCAGTGTATTCCTTTTCAGTATATTCAATGCCCGATTTCGTATACGAAATTCGTGATGCCAGCCTAGCCAGGACAGGCGATCTTTCTCTTGTTCGTCTTCGTCTTGTTCTTATGGCCACTCAGCGGCGACGACGACCGCGGCTTGAGAAACATACAAACGTGAATGTCACTCGACCCAGAGAAGCTCTAACGATCTAAGATTCGGCTCGTTCACCATGGACACCTGACTTCCCGGGTTGACATCTGCCAACAGAGCAGGTTCTCAAGGTGGTTATATTTCGCCTCAATGGGACTCTCGCGATGGTGATATATCGGAAGGGCGTGAGTGACAGCATGTTAATTGGTCCCTTCAATCCAAACGGCGGCGTTTTCTTCCCGTTGAGCCGCCTCTTGGGATCGATTTGTTGGTGATGAAGGATGAGATGGCAGCAAACTATCAGGTTGATATCCCGATCACAGCAAAACCCTCGACAGGCGATGTGCCACGACAATTGCCACACTACTGCGAAAGATTCACGTAGATTCAACGTTAAGTTGGCATTTGCAAGAACACGATATGCTGACATCTCATTGACCTGGTGGACTTTCGGCCTCAATCTACTTCCGCAAATAAACCTCCGCCTCAATCATCTCAAAAATAAAATCCTTCACCGAGGAGATGCAATATTCAAAACCAAATCTTCAAAATTCCAAATTCCATGAATCTCCATCCAAAGATCCAAATCTAGACCCAGTCAACCCACGGTTGTCGTTGTGTGTCGTCGCGTTGGTCATGCTCACCCGAAAAAATGGTCCCACAAAGCTCGCACCTCGGACATTTCGCAATAGCGAGATCTGCGAGGTCACGACTCAGCGCACACTGCGTAACGACGTAAACGTGCCAAACGCACCAAGGCAGCTGCGGTAAAGTGGAATCATGCCAAGATTGGGGTAACGGTGCCTTCACTAAGCACGCCGTTACTGCGTATCATGAGTTTACACTGTCGGTTTGGGGCTTCTTGCGCCAAAGCCAAAGGTAGGAGACGTGAACTGGGTGCTGGTACTTGTTTTCGTGCTGAGAATACTTACTTTATCGAACCATACTCGACCTCAAAACTCTCTGCGCTCTTCAATGAGAAAAGCATGATTGGCCTTCGTCCACGGCATCCATCGTTCTAGAACATTTACACGCAGTCATACTCGTCCAAATCAAGGGTACCATAATGCTCACAGCCACGACCCACGATCTATCCCCACCGCCCTCTTCCCTGAACACGCATCACGCCCTACGCGACCCGGTCCGCGGAGAAGGTTTCCCCAGGTCCCAGGTCATGGGCCCCTCCGCTAGCCCTGTGGGATCATCGGGAGGGATCGTGGAACCACGACATTTCTTTGGGCATTGGATTCTCACTGCGGTTCCGCGTTTGTGCGTTTTCTGTTTCTTACAAAGTCATCCCGGGAAATCTCTCGAGGTATTAGGTAATTGCTCCCAGCGCGTCAGCTGGCGGCGCAAAGCTGCACTGATGTGGCGGCGGGATGCGGGAGAGCGCAGCGGGATCATCTTCTTAGCGTTGTGGCCGGGCTGGGGATAGGCGCCGTTGGGGTTCGTTGGTTAATGGTCATGGGCTAAGAATTTGCATTTATGGTATTACACGCACAAGGACTTGAGGAGCGACATTGAGACTGCCATGCCATCAACTCAAGGGACCAGGAATATCGGATTCAAAGTCTTGATCAAGTCATAGAGGCTCATTCATCGCACAGGAATTCAGCACCTGGGATGAGTCCGATGGAGACTTTCATCCCGTCGGCTCGGGGAGAGTTGGAACTGGGAACTGGGCACCCTCGCGGTGATCTTTTTCCAGCCCTAGTATCCGTATTTGTTTGTTGTCCAAGAAAAATCAATTTGCTTCCGAATCGAGTCAGCAGGAAAACCCAGTGCTCCTCTCTCGTCATATTTGCTATAGTCTACCCACAAATTGGCGTCAACTAAGGCTTCGAACGATATTCCGCGAAACTAGCAGGACGGTGATTCCCATGAAATGTGACGCAAATGCCCAACTGTACCCGTACGGACGAATCACAAACAGATCTAATTACAAGCCACTCAAAACGGGAGTGGCGGTGCGACATTGTTGTCTCTCGTCTCTGAGATCCATGTTTCTCGCCTGTTGAACTTTTGACTCTTGACTCTTGACTCTGAACTCTGGTGAGTGTGAGGCGTCGGCCACTCGGTACACCTCACCTTCCATGTTCCACCGTCCCTTTCCTCGCCATCTGTCAAGAATCAATTCCAGGCACAAAATCGATAGCTGGGGACGCCACTGTAATCGACTGAGAGGAAAAAGAGAAACCAGTGTCTAGCATCCCATGTACCCTGCTCCAACACACGCCACAGCTGGGTTTCGCCTGCAGAATTAGGCTTTGACAGGCGAGGGAGGCAGCGTTGCTAATTGAGTTAGTGCCAGGAACCACCCACGCCACCAAGGAGGTTTGATGTTTCTGGCTCCTCTGGAACTCGGACGCTTGGCCGCCGCACCGCGCTCGTGACAACTTTGACAGAAGAGAGTGGGCGTCTGCTACATCTCAGACCTTGGAGACTCCGAGGGCGGTTCTCGATCCATCTTGCAGCTTGCATGCTGCCACCGGCTGTTACCGGCAGGGCAGAGAGGTCAGTGCCATTACGCAGTGACGAGTGGCACGTGAATGAGGCCTTTGAAGTCGGCGGTTCTCACCGAATCTACGCAACAAGTCTGTCGCCGCTTCATCCACAGTGGGTTCCTTCATCAATGAGTGTCCACGATGTAACGACTCAGTGTCGCTATGGCGATCCAAAAGTGACGCAACTGCAAAGTAAATGCCAAAAACAACCCCAAGGTCCAGACTTACTCTCCGCGGATTAGCATTTGCAACCCTGTAATCCAGTCGGCAGCTCTGACGAGCCACGCGAAAGCGGCCGCTGACGATTCCGCCCTCGTCGGCGTGGTCCATGGTCCTCTGGTCAGGGGTGACCCCCGGCCGTCCTGGGAAATGGATCCCGTTGCCGACGTTGTGGCCCATTAAACGGGTGCGCGCCGCGGAGATGCAAGATTCAACGACATGTGGAACTCCGACCCGAATGTCAGGCCACCGGCAGTGAGCCATGTTACGGGACGCCCGGTTTTTCTGTGGAGGCCAGCGGCCATGAGCGGTCCGCACACATCGTCGACCATTGAGAAGCCTGATATTTGTCAATTGTAAACGTCGTCCCGTGGAAATGGTGCACCTTTGTCCTAGGAAATAAATACTGCCCGAGTCTCCCGCTTCTGAAACGGAAGAGAGAAGAGAGGAAGTATCACTACCTATCCAGACATCAGACTTCAGACTTTCGTCACACAGACAATAAGAAATTTCAGACTTCAGACTGCTGAGTACTGGCTGCAGCACACCATCATCATCATCATCATCATCGTCACCGTCAGCCTCAACATCACCTCCGACTTACCACCCTTGGTAGATGTTCTCCCTCTTCAAGACCACTCGTCTTTTGCCAACTTTGGCTCGTCCCACAAACAACCTTGCCCGAGCATTCTCCATCTCATCCGCCAGAATGGGCCTCACGCAAGACCAAATCAACATCGTCAAGTCGACGGCGCCCGTGCTCAAGGTGCACGGCGAGACCATCACGACTCTCTTCTACAAGGACATGATTGACACCCATCCCGAACTCAAGAACATCTTCAGTCTTCGCAACCAGGCCTCCGGTGAGCAGCCCCGGGCACTCGCCCAGTCTGTTCTCGCCTATGCCACGTATATCGACGATTTGCCCAAGCTCAAATCCGCCGTTGAGCGCATCGCTCATAAGCATGCGTCGCTGTACATTCGCCCTGAGCACTACGACATTGTCGGCCACCACCTTATGAAGGCGATTGGGGAAGTCTTGGGCGACGCACTGACACCCGAGATCGCCGAGGCTTGGACACTAGCATACGGGCAGCTTGCGCAGGTTTTCATCGGCCGCGAGAAGGAGATGTACCAGGAAGCAGGCACCTGGACAAATTGGCGCAAGTTCAAGATCATCCGCCGCATCGACGAGTCCGACTCCGTCACCAGCTTCTACCTCGCACCCTCAGACGGCAAGCTCCCCCTGCCCAAGTATCTACCGGGCCAGTACATCTCCGTGCAGGTCCCAGTACCGCAACTCGGCGGCATCACTCAGCCCAGACAATACAGTCTCAGCGACGCGGCGACACAAGGAGAGTACTACCGCATCAGTGTCAAGCGTGAGGCGACAGTGGTGGACGCGCCGGAAGATGACCTGAAGAAGGGCCTGGTTCCCGGCCTCATCTCCAACCTGTTGCACGACGGCTACCAGGTTGGCGACGAGATCGATGTGTCGCACCCGCAAGGAGACTTCTTCCTGGATGCGAAAGAATCCGAAAAGGCGGATGTTCCGTTGGTGCTTCTCTCGGCAGGTGTCGGTGCAACGCCGCTCATGTCGATCCTCAACACGGTGCTGAGCCCGGAGTCCGAGACGCCGAACCGGCCGATCAAGTGGGTGCACGCCGCACGCAACAGCAGCAACTTGGTATTTGCCAAGCACATCCGGAACCTGACGCGGGAGCGAGAGAACGTCAGCGCGCATATCTTCCTCAATGAGGTCAAGCCAGGAGACGAGAAGGGGCAGGAGTACGATTACGAGCAGCACCTCGACCTGAAGCAATTGCCGGAAGAAGAGCTTGGCCTCGCCGACAAGAGAACCGAGTACTACGTCTGCGGGCCGAGAGATTGGATGCTCAAGGTGAGACTTGTGTTGGAAGGTTTGGGCGTCGAGAGGGAGAGAGTGAAGCTGGAGCTGTTCGCAACTGGTGACGTCGAGCAGTAGTCAGTCAACAGCAGTGATTTGAGTATCAGATTAGACAGGGCTGAGAGAGAGGGAGAAAAGGAAGAAAGAAAGAAAGAAAGAAAGAAAAAGATTTGGCTGGGATCTTGCGAAGGGATGATTGGGCGGGGCGACAAGTTTTGGTATCGAACTGAAAGAGGTTCTTTTCCTCGCGCGCACCTTGCTTGAATTGTAATTGTATTGATAGATAGATACCTCTCTGAAATTTTCGAACAATTTTGTCATTGTGAACAACAAGTTGTGTGTCGAGAGTTCGTTACTTTTTTGCCTTGTGTCCTTTTTTCGTGACTTGGTCCTCCCTCGGCCGTGCGAGTCCAAGTTTTTCTTTTTCCCAGCTGCGCTGTTTCGAGGCGATGGGTTTTGCGAAAATTTTCTGACGTGTAGAATTTGACACGATCTTGCGCACAGGCTGAAAAATGAGGCTTCTAGACGCCAAGTCGAATCTTGGGATGTAGCAAGTTGATGAGATTCAGAAGATGAAGTTGATATTGACATCGAACAACGATCGTTGTTGATAATACGCCCTCTATCGGCTAGGCACTGCATCGAATCGGGACGGTCCGCTGGTGAACCAGAGTTTGAGATTCTGATTTTGGGCGTTACGGTGTAGCAGCCAAGCGACTCGTTCGTGCCATTGCTATAATGCATCAAGTAAGCAGCCCGCCGTTGGGATGAAGCCTTCGTCCATGGTCCATAGGTTAAGGCGGAAGGGTGTGCGGACGAGGCTCGCGGCGTTCACGAAGGGAAGACTGGGCGAAACCAGAAAAAATGGGTTGGGTGACACAGAGAAAAGTCGTATTCCCGGTACACTTTGCTTTTTCTCAGCACAGAAAAGTGACGAGTAACTTGGCTCTGGCGCCCAAGTTGTGCATCGTGACGATGGATGCCAGGACCAGGCGTCGAGACACGGCTTGCAGGCGTTATGGCTCCCCGAGCGGGAGCTTGCGCGGGAGCGGGTGCGATCCGGGAGGGCAGCTAATGGAATTGGGACCAGCAGGGAGGCGGAATCATGGCTCTGGGTCCGTCGATCTGCGATGCAGCGACCCAACGATCCAGCAGCTACCCATGGAGCATCGGATCGACATGGATAGTCAGGAGGAGGCCAGCTGCATATTCCCCGTTCATCAGGGTCCGCCTTGATGGGATTTGGGATCCAATGTGAGATGCGATGAACGTCAGCGCAGGGGTGGGAGGGGTGTAGAAGAAGATATACCCAGAAAGATACGCTGAAAAGCCAGTCTACTTGACGGTAGACCTGAAGGGAGCAGGGGCCGAGGCGGCTGGCGATAGATCCGGATCAAGGGTCATGCTAGTATGGTAGAATATGTCTCCAATGTCTGAGTCTTGAGGGACCTAAGATGGAGCTGATGGAGCTGATGGACGAGACGGGAGAGGTGGGCGAGGTGGGCGAGATTCAGATGATGGATGTGAGGTCAGAGTAAAGAATTTGCGGCCAATAGATGGAGAGGCGTCGAGACCTGTGAGGATTGTCCGTACCTTACCGCGGTAAGTGACTTACATCTCGAGGCAAGACCTCACTGGATCGGCTCAGGGGTTCAGTTCGGCCGTGATTGGTGAGACCACGTGCCCGGGGAGTCGGGGCTCCGGTGCCGAGCGCTAAGAATAAAACAGGCAAAACCAGTGGCCCAGGTACGGCCAGGTCACGCTATTCTGGGAATGGGAGGCAAGAGGTACGCGGCTGTACAGAAGTAAGGTACCTGCTTGCCTTAACTTCGAGGTAGAATACCTTAGAGCCTGAGCAGGAAGTTGCGAGGGCAGTGGAGGAGTACTGAGGTGGGAGACGGAAGCTGCACCTGCCGCCCTCGGCCTCCGGGCAAGTCCCCACCTGCCGTCGCCGTCCCCGGATCCGTCGGCCGGAAACAGGTACGTACTTTGTGCTGCCATCCGGGTCGGGTGTGCCTTCCTCCCATCTTGCGTGCTGTCTCCCTCCCGCTCAACGCTGCCACCTCAATCATTTCCACTTCTCACCAACATCAAGCCCCAATTCCAACACCAACATCCTCCCGCCCACTTGTCGACGAGACTGCCGTTTTTCCCTTTGGAATGTTCAACTCCCACTAGAGATTCCGTACGTGGCTGAGCGCGTGCAGTCGTACCCTTGGGCGCCGCTTCTCCATCTCTTTCGCCCATTCTTGCTTCCCTGCGTCAGGACAGGGGGCCCGCCGACATGACAGGGGCTCAATTCCCATCCATCTGGCACCACTAATCTTTTCCTTTCTCAATCATCTTTCTTCTTTCTCTTCCCCTTCCTCTCTTTTCCATTCACTCGGCTCCATCGCCCGTCCCGACGATCAGATTTATCGCCTCCCACCTCTTATTCTCCTAGTCAATCGCCTGCGCTAACTCTCTCATGGTATGGCCTCGACCACGGTCATATTCGACTGCTCACTGCTCACATCGACCCAGGCATCTCGCTCGATGGATCGATGGATCTCCGGAACTGTCCCGGCATTGCCAGGCCCCCATGTCCAATGATCTCACTCACATTGATCATTTTTTTCACCCATCGTCGTCATTCCAGGGGCCTCGGGAAGAAATCATCGAGTGGAATCCTGACGGGCCTAAGGGCCAGAGTTCTGGAAGAGTCAGCTGCATTCCGTCGTGATGCCTACTCTCGCCCTGTCCTGCCACCCAAGATCCTGCGACCAGCCGAAACCCATCGCCCTCTCAGGGGACACGAATCACAAGGATGGCCACTGTGGAATGCCGGTACTCAAACTCTATCCACGCATCTTGGTCACACCTCTTCAGTCCTCCCCCCCATCACGGGTGGAAGCTGCGAGCTATTCGTATACTTGGTAGAACTACCTGAAGCTGGAGCTGCCTGGAGCTCAACATTATTCGTGTACCGCATGGGGTCTCTCCAATGACCAGTCTCCAACCGACCCTCCGCCTGTTCTAGAGTTTATGGACCAGCGGCCTCCGTGGTCGAGAACCGCTGCTGCCCGGATGTCGCCCCTCGGCGATGGAATAGTGTGCCTCGCGGAACTTGAATTTGGGCTCTGGATTGGCAGACTATCTAGCACCCCACGCTGCGTGAGGGTCCTTCAGCGCGCCTCTCTCCATTATTCCAACGCGTCCAGCCGGCCCCAAAGCCGCCCAAGAACCTCTTTTGGGTCCCTCCCCCGTCAATATTGCACCTCGGTGCCAATATCGTTCACCTGATGTCGCAGTGCACTGGCCTAGGGGTCTCGTCTCTGCCGAGAAGCTGAAGAAATTTTCCGCGGGAGCGCGCATCCCGCCATGTAAGGACCCGAGAGACGACAAGCCAAGTCCGAAAGGGAGGGCATCTGTCATAATGCACCAAACCGCAAAATCAACGCAACCCCGTCATGCCATGCCATGCCATGCTACCGGTTCTGACGGATGGCCGAGGCGCTGCGATAATGCCTAGTGTGGTGGAAGATGGGACTCGAGCTGAGCTGTCAACATACCTACGCGAGTCGTGGTTCAACAGCACGGGCAGTTGCATGATCTGATGCCTCATTCCGTGGAACGGCCCGCATTCGCGCACCTGGCACTGCGACCGCCGACTATTATGCTAAGCTGCTGGCTGCATCGTGCCGGCACTGCTCATGGCACTGTCTGGACCACCTGGAACACCAGTTCATCCGACCCAATTTTTGTCATTTCGTTTCGGCCGCAGTCGCCTGAACAATCGCAATCCGCACCAACTAAAACAAAGAATCTTATTCTTTGAAGCAGGAACATCAAACAACAATCGCATTGACAAGACGGTGGAAGGCGTCATACTCTGATCGGCTTCCAAACCAGCCTCGACGTTACCCGTAACCCGGGGCTACGCGGTGCCCAGTCACAACATCCCACTCTCTCCTGTCTCACAGACTGGTGTGGTGACGCCGCTGACTGACTTCTTGGTGATCCCCCAGAGTCCCAGAGTGGTCATGGAGACTGGGCTGCCACGAGTCGAAGGCTGGGCGACACGGCCTCTTCCGCCTTTCACACCTTGTGCAACGCACCTCGGTTTCTCGTACCTTTTTTCGTGTCTCGTTGTGTCCCTCAAAAGCCTCCCTTGACACAAAAAGAGATTCCAGTTTTGTCTCCAGCCAGGGCAGACACGGGCACCTTTGGCCCGAGGATTCTCGACTGTATCAATCGTCCGTCGTATTATCCTCCTCTACTCCGTACTCCGTAGGATACTCCGCACGGGATCCCGCCATTCCTATCGAATGGCAAGGGTCTGACAGCCCAAACAACAACTCTTAGCTGTGCCAGATCACTAGCTTTCCTTAAGCTATTTGCGCCATCACGTCGGGTCGCCCTCTGACGTCCGGATTTGACCATGGCACAGCGGATACCAGAAGCTTGCAAGGGTCCGTCTTGAGGGGTAGTGTCGGTGATCCTTGCTAGCAATCAAGCCACCCACACTTTGGAGCTCCTCGATATCGCGCACTAAAACTGCATTCTCCCCAATCCGGCACGCAGCTCTAAGGGAATGCACGTTACTCACCGTCGACGGCGCGCCAGCCTAGGAACTCTCATGCTCTGCTCATCATCGACATCGTCTCCCGCTTGCCATCCAACCGCGCCCGCCAACTGCCCGCCTACAGCGCTTACTTGGCCTTCCCGCACGACAAAGAGACGGCGCCTTCCTGCCACCTTCTCGGCCGTATCCTTACCGATCTAACCTGCTTAAACCCACAACGGGCCCTACTCAACGGCCTCTCGTCGCAAGGCTGTCTCCTAGTCCACAACAACTTCCCACCATAACTTCGTTAGTCGACTACGGCATTACTTTTTTTCCCCGATGAAGATGTTGTCACTGGGCCTCCCAATCGTCAACTTCGGCCCTGGTTACCCCCGGCGCTGACTCCGAACTTCACCGAGCGAGGCAAAAGGAGGCACAGAAGTCCAGCTGCAGGTGTGCTTCGCCCGGGTGGTGCGGGATGCCTCCCCTCTCGTTTTAGCTGGTCATCGTGCCTGAGGTCATCACGGCACGGCATCAGTGCCCCCCGCCCCTGGCAATAACGCACTGTGACAATCGTGGGATTCCAGATTGCATCGATCACTTGGGGGCTCCCATCTCGTCTGGTACACTGCGGCGCAAACACGGGGTACCCTGGTCGAAAATCCAGATTGCCGGGTTCGCAGCCACCAACAAATATTTGGTAACAAACAACCACGCAAGCCAGCCCAGCAAAGGAAGCAAACAACCCTCGAATCCTGACAATTTCCACGCATAACGAGCAAACATGTCTACGAAACCGTTAGACAGTTTTATTTTGCGGCTTGATTTCTGGGTCTTGACTGAAATTGCTCTATCCATCGGCTAAGCAACATCGGCTTGGCTTCATCCCGCTTGCCCGGTGTCGTGTCGTCGTGTCAGGTCGTGTCGTCCATCCCATCCCCGAGCCCGCCGACTCACCAAGTTGGTAATCGAACTGAATCTGGACTCTACTCGAGCCAAGATGGCTCTCTCCATTGGCTACGTTGCGAGAATCACGGCGACTACGGAGGCTAGGAGACTAATCCAAGCCGTCGTGGAGTCTACTTACGTGGTCGGCTGGGTCGTTGAAGAGCTTCCCGAAGCCGCTTGATAGCTCGATGGATCTTGGCCAGAAGGCTCGATGGGACGAGGCAGAGGCGGCGGGGAAGGCTTCGCCGTTATCTCTGCCACCTTGTGACATCTGACATATGAGGCAAGCGATCCAAGTCGAACCCGAGGCTAGGCGTCGAAAAGCTCGAATCGCGATCACAGGTTGCACAGCATCTGGTGCCTGCGCCGCGCTGCACCGTTTTCCTGAAGAAGATGGGTGCTAAATGTGACGTCCATCGACGACGCCGTCGAAGCAGGATCACCACTTGCCCCTAAGCCATTCCTTGGCACACAAACCCGGGGACCCGCCCTTTCAGCCACGTTCTGCATGCTCTTGCGGTCCCTGTCGACCATAGGAGACCATAGGAGACGATGGGAGACCAAGTGGTCCAAGGCCATGCCGCGCGGTGGTGGGGGAGCGGATTGGAGTGGTGAGTTACCTTGGTACCTAGGAACATCGGCTCGACTCGACTCGACGGTGGGTAAGAGACTCAGACAGACGCCACACCTGGCGGATGGTGGCCCGTCATGGTGGGAAAAAAAAGCTCTTTATGTTTTCTCTCTCTGGAGAGAGCTTTCTTTGTCCTTTTTCCATGCCACATCTGTCCAAACCTTTTCTGAGTTCTGACACTTCGTTTTTGCATGTTTCATCGTCTCCACAGACAGGGACCCTGGTGGATCTTCCGGCCCCTTGCAAGTGATCCTGGGCTGGTTAGTGCAGCTCTGTGCAGTGTGCAGATTGAAGAGAGGAGAACTAGAGACTGGGGGACTGGAGACGTGTATCTCTCTCTGTCTCTCTGTCTTTCTGTCTGCGAGCTAGTGGAGCAGGTTTCTTCTTTCAGGCATCGTGCTCTCATACTGTCTAGTAATGAACATCGGATCGCTGAAGTCAGGCAAGGTCTGTACCGTGGTGCTGGGCCGCCGGGGAAGTGCCTATTGGTTGTCCAGGCGAGCAAGCGGTGCTGTTGTCTGCTCGATTCGAACGAACCAGACTGGATGGACTGACTGGATGGAGGAGACTTGAGTCTTGTCTGTAGTTGTTCTGTACACCCCCTTTCCACTCCCTCCTCGTCGTCCTTTTTTCTCCTACGAACACCTACCAGGCAGGCTACCTTCCATGCCAGAGGTACGGATACCTTTCCCATATCCCGGTCCGTAGTTCTGGGGAGGTTAGCCCAGATGCTATTTCTTTCCAGTCCGAGAGGACAAGGTCCAGCATCCTCGCCCATATTCGCCATGTTTTACTATCTCGCTCCAAGGCTAGCCGATGACTGTCCAATCAAGGTAGCCCGGCACATCCAGTGCTTTTTCGACCGAGCGGGCTATGGTTGCGGCGAGGAATGGATCAGCTCGGGTCGTATCGTAGTCGATGCTCTTCGGTACCTCGCCTGCTCGCTGGATCTCTCTCTTTTTGCCCTGCACCTCATCAACGGTACTCTTGTCCCTGGTCGAGAGAAAAGCATTCATGTGTAGCTGTCTCATTGACTAGGGATCGGAGCAGCCCACTTCTTGGTCGAATGGATCCAGGCCTATTTGACTACACACCTCCCCTCACCCCCGACTCTCTGGAATTCCCTCGCAAATTGTTCTTGTTTTGCAAACGCCGAACCATGGCAGTGACAATGTCTGACGGTCCGATTCGGAAGGCCTGCGATCGGTGTCATAGGCAGAAGCTCAGCTGTAAGCGCGTCGGCGATGAAGCTTGTGAGCGCTGTATCAGACTCAAGGAAGAGTGCACTTCGAGCCCTTCTCTGCGGTATCGCAAGCAACACAGTCAGCAGCAGCAGCAGCACCACCACCACAACCACAACCACCACCAATACGGCTCAACAGGAGAGGTTGTACGAAGAGCCATCCCGACTCCCAAGCGGCAGCGTACAGAGAGCGGGGCCGCCCAAGTCACACAGTCCGATCAAGGTGAGTCTTAGGTGTCTTTGACTTGTCTAGAATAATCCTCCCTTTACTGATGATTCTTGCCTCGTGTAGTTATCGTCAAGACCCAACATGGTGGTCCCGTCTGTGGTAACACGGCATTCGGAGACAATGCTGTCGTTTCACCTGAGGCCATGCTTGACATGGTCGATTTCGACTTTGGCTTCGGCAACTCTGCCGGCCTCTATCAACCCAGCACAAACCAACAACAATTACCCCAGACTTTCACCGGAGCCATGGACGATCTGATGTCAGGACATGGAGATTCCATTACCCATCCGTGGAGCCCAGTCCACTCGGCAACTTCAGACTCGGCATTCACCTCACCCATGGCACCGCAAGCAGACCAGGTCGGCCGGGTCTATCTCGGAAGCCCTGCGTTGCAAAGGCAATCTTCTTCAAGATCGAGTAAGCCGCATGACTTTACTCCACCACGGCGAGCAAGGAAGCGTGTCAAGCAAAGAACAAGGCAGATCATGCTCCGGCCGTACGCTGCTGGCCAAGGACCATCGACTGGAGAGTGGATGCCGCGCATCACCGAAGTCAACTCCAGGCTCTTTGAGCTCTCGTCAAACCTACCCGCGCACATCGACTCATCCGAGGAGCCCGGCCGATCCAGCATAGCCTCGACGCCCGATGACGGAAGCTCAACCTTGGCGCCTTTCCCAGTTGATGAGATGTTCAAACTCTCTCGACACTTTGCTGACCTTCTTGCGGAAATGTCTCCACCGATGGAGGCCGCCTCTCCCGCAAGCGATGGCGGGAACTCTGTACTAGCCAAAGGACTCAACTCCTTGTCGGATCCGGCGACCTGTCTCTTCGTCCTCTCGACGTATGTTCGGCTTCTAGACATGTACCAGAAGGTCTTCAGCTGCATTCACTCAGAGCTAAATCAGCTTGAGTCGGGTCACCTGTTTCAGTCATGGAAACTTCCTGGCGTCACCGTGGGCTCCTTTGCCGTCGACTCGGCGCCGTCCCTCCAGATGTCTCTCACGATTCAGTTAGCGGAAGAGTTTCTTTTACAGATGCGGCGAGCATCTGCATCACTCGATCCGACTCTGCGATCGGATGGTTCACCAGCGGGAAAGGCCCCTGATGCAGCCTCAATGTTCTCTGGAGTAGTCGATGTCTCATTTCAGGCACTGAAGAGGCAAGAAGAAAGCCTAGGCAAGGAACTAAAGGATCTACGGAAGGCAATGGAGACTTCTCTCGACGGATGAAGACGAAGCCAAGGAGTGTAATCATGTTAGATAGTGCAAATTGCTGTATTGATGGCCTTGGTTTGCTTCTCAATATGCTTAGTGTGGAGAATTGGACGACGGATGGAGTTGTGTCATGGAGTTCATAGGATCGGATGGAGTCACTTTTAGACATGAGGAGCCAAGACAGCCTCAATCTGAACCACGCGGGACAAAGAAACGTCTTTCATGTGCAAGTACCCCATATTCTCCACGAGGAAGATATGCACGTTGATACATTGACTTTGTGAAAGTTAAAAGTCACTACGGAACGGATCGCGCTTCCGAAATTCTTGAGTACAGGACCGTTTTCGTCGTTAGGTCTCTCTTTCTTGAGTCTCTGATGACATCGGTTGCTCCCAGCGCCGAAACAGACGTAAGTCACTTTTACACACGCTGGATGAGCCGTCGTTGAAGAAGAGGCGCCGTCTTATCAAGCCTCCCGGGCGGCCGATGGCGTCTGCGAGACCGAGATCGAGAGACTGGCTGACTAAATAATAGTCGGAATCCCGTTTGTTTGCTGGCAACTAAAATAGTCAACGCCGAACGTGCACGCCAAATAATCCCGGCGACCGTTCGAGACATTCTTCGGCCACGGAACTCCGAACCACCCCTTTTGATCCACCAACAGACAAACCATCGCCGAACCTCAACTCAACTTCCATCCCACACTCCCACACGCCCCCTACGCCCCTCCCCTTCCCAGATCCCCCCCAGTTCCTCTTCAGCACACCCCCGTACCGTGGGGGATCTGGGATCTTGGGTCTTGGGTTTCTGGGTGCTTGGGTCTAGGCGGAGTAAGGCGGTTTGCCCCCTTACTTTTTTGACATGGGGGCACAGGCGTCATGTAATCGACACTGTCCGCCAGGGAGGAACCATCGCGAGGTTTGATATTGTTGCTGCCATCAACTGATTGTCTATATATCCCTTCATATCGCACCGTCCAGTATGATGTCTTTCCCTCGATCACCACAGCCCTTCCCATTCTTCCCTATTGTTATACCTCTTACCTCCATCTTCACGCATCGGACAATTCAGCCCACGTGTCGACGACTTACACGGAGTTTTATACTCTTCTCTTTTCTCTCTCCAACCCCCTCATAATACCTAATTATCCTAGAAATACCCCTGACAGCAATGTCTACCTACAAGAAACCCCAGTCAGAGCCTATAGCCATTGTTGGCACAGGTTGTCGATTCGCTGGCGACGTAACATCAACAACAAAACTCTGGGATCTTCTCACCAACCCCAGACAATTATCACAAGAGGTCCCGAGCAACCGGTTTAACGCCCAAAGCTTCTACCACCCAGACGGCGAATACCATGGAGCAACCAACGCAACACAGGGCTACTTTCTCGAGGAAGATCACCGTGTATGGGACGCAGGATTCTTCAACATCACACCCAAGGAGGCCGAGGCCATCGACCCTCAACAACGCATCATCCTCGAAGTCGTCTACGAAGCCTTGGAATCGGCCGGATATACACTCGAGAAATACGCTGGCAAGAAGGTTGCCGTATACGCAGGGCTCATGACAGCAGACTACGACTCATTATGCCAAAGAGACGACATTACATCGAATCAATACTTCGCAACAGGCAACTCACGGGCTATTCTCTCCAACCGAATCTCATATTTCTTCAACTTCCGTGGTCCCTCGATGACCATTGATACAGCATGCTCATCAAGTCTGGTCGCTCTTCACCAGGCCGTCTTGAGTCTCCGGTCCGGTGAGTGCGAGATGGCCTGTGTCGCCGGTGCTAACTTGATGATCACCCCCGAGCAATTCATCAGCGAGGCCAGTCTGCACATGCTCAGCCCTACAGGCACATCAAAGATGTGGGACGTGAGTGCAGACGGATACGCCCGCGGTGAAGGCTTTGCGGCTCTGTTCATCAAGCCACTGTCTCAGGCTTTGAGAGACGGCGACTCCATCATCAGCATTGTGAGAGAGACTGGTGTGAACTCGGACGGCCGCACTCAGGGTATCACCATGCCCAGCCCCCTCGCCCAAGCCGAGTTGATTCGGG